CTCAACAATGCTCTTCCCTGCAACAAAGTTCCTCTCATGCTGGCAGACGCGTATGGATGAATCCTCCTTCTCCAGATTTGGAATCAGGACATTTTTCACCCAGTCGGAATCACGCTCACTGTAGGAGATAAAGGCGTGGAACTCGATGCCCTTGAGGATGTGCTCAGGTGTCCTCTTCCAACCCCTGTGTTTCACTTGACTCCAGTGCCACGTCATCTTCAAATACCATGGGATATCCAAACAGATACAGAGGACGGAAATGGCAACCAGGGCCACCACTGTAACAGCGAGAACTACAGCCATCAAAAGAGTCACATTGCAAGCAACTTCAGAGACATGAAAATCTGTTAAAGGTGTTCCCTTTAATTGCTGAGGATAGTCACATGTGTACAAGTCAGGCCAACCAACAAACTCCACTGATCCTTGTTTTTCAAGATTAATGAATGGCCTTAACTCACAGGAACACATGAATGGGTTGTGACCTCCTTTTAAGGTCCTGATATTCTGACAGCTTTGGAGGAACTCGGAAGAGTTCGAGGCAACTAAATTACTTTCTACATTTAGTAACTGGAGACCTCTAAAATGACCACAGCCAGGCAAGGCACTTAGTTTATTAAAAGCCAAATGTAGTTCTTTTAAATTGTTCAGCTCAATCATCTCCTTAGGAACACTTGAAATGCTGTTGTCTTGTAAATCCAGTATTTGAATATTGACTGGCAAACACCAAAAGACTGACTCAGACAAAACATTAGATGACAAGTTCAATTTAACTAGCATTTCTCCCCATAGGCACTTATCCCTATTGTCTTCATACTGTAATAAATTCTTGCTCAGGTCCAAATCTTTCAGAGACTGCATGAGAGCTGCCATTGCACTCACTTTTCTAAGCTCTTTCAAACTATTGCTTTGTAAAACTAGTGTTTCTAGGAGGGTCAAGTGATTGCATCCTTGGAAAACTGAGTCAGTCAATGCATTATCTGAAAAATTTATGTAGGTAAATTGACTTGGTTTTGAAGGGCAAAGCATGTGTATCAAACCTGCATCAGAAATAGTCAGCTTTTCAATGTTCATATTTGCAAACAGTTTATACATACCTGTTGGGGCAGAAAAATAAGTAGTGAATGTAATCTGCCTAATTATCAAAGCTTTGAGTGATGTTTTGGTTTGTGTAAAAGTTACTTTGTTAGGAACTTCCAACCGTGGTATATTGGAAATGACAACAGTTTCAGTGGTTGATTCCCACACAGTCTGAAGAATGTCGATGAAGCCTTCCCAGTTGCAACGTACATTGTTCAAGATTAGTAATGGGGAAATTTTCTTAATGTTCAGCAAGAATTTCCTTAAGTCATTGGTGTATTTCTTATTGAATTTTGATAATTTTAAAGTTTCTGTAAAATTGAGTTCTAGATCTGACAGCAGATGGAAATCACTGTTTTGAGGGAGTGCTATGTGAAGATTTTTTGTGTTGAACACTAGAAGATTTCCAGAGCTATATTCAGAGAGGTTTTCTAAGTCCAAGAAGAGAGTATGCAGTTGTAAATGAGCTAGAGCATGGAAATCTGATTTCTGAATTCTTTTAAGACTGAGGCCAAGATATTCCAACTTCAACGTTTTTCCAGTCTTGGGGCATATGGGCATGGCTATGTAGTTATTGTAAGAGAGATCTAGATGCCTGAGACGTAGCATAGGATGACAAGAAAGCATCTGCAAGTTGTTGTGAGATACGTCCAGATGTTCTAAATTGGTATTGTATTGGAAAACACTGAAGTCAAACTCTCTGATTCGGTTGTATGACAGAATGAGTTTCCGTAGTCTGGAAAGTGAATGAAAATCAGATGTTTGTAGTTCAGCAATATTGTTATGTGACAAGTCCAACACTGTTGTTTGTGTAGATAGGTTCTTAGGAACCGCAGTTAGCAATCTTTTGGAATAATCTGTGCTAAAGCCATTTCCTGCAGCAACTTTAAAACTAGTCCAGAAGGATATTGTCAGGGTGAAAGCAATAAGGAAATTGATGGAGACCAAGCTTCTTTGATCAGCGATCTTGCATATCACTTGTTTAAATTGTTGACTATCGATGACTTTCATCTTTCCAGACCAATTAAATTCTGTTAAAAGATTATGCATTAGAATATTAGTGCAATCCCTTTAAGAAATTCAAAACGTCTGTTCTTAAATATTATGCATCCTTACTTCAGTTGATGAGCACCATGATAATAAAGAATTTGAAAAAAATGTACAGGCAGTTCCTCAGTAATGAATGTCTGTGTTATGCTCAACCTGTGCATATGAATAGATGACCAGGAAGCCAATTAATTTTTAAAAATTAATTAAAATGATGTGTCATCATCACAGAGAGAAAGGAAGTGAAAGGGGACAGAAGGAGGGTCTCCAAAGCATCACTATAGAGAGGAGGACTCCACAGCATACCTTCCTACCCCACCCACCTGGGGAAGGAAATCCCTCCAGCATCTTCTTGCTGCAAAGAGGAATCACTGGTGAGGCTGGGCAGGGTGGAGCTAGAGATATTTGTGGTTTTTTCCATTTTCACAGAGGTCCCGCACCCCTAACCCTGTGAATATGGAGGACCAACTATGCATGATCTGACTTACATACAAAATTCCACTTAAAGACAAATTTCCACAACAGCTTCTCTCTTTATCGTAATTGGTTGCCAACACTGTATCTGATTTATTTTACAATATATGCAAATATAGACACATTATTGATATCCAGAATAATATAATTAATTACTTGCATGATAATAATTAACAGCAACAATTTATAATACAATTAATATACCAGTTTTTAACTAGCCCGTTTCTATGCTATAAAAACCTACTAGACCAGAAATCAAGGTGATCAACTGGAGGTTCATCCACTCCATCAGACTCTTTCAATTCTATCTTGAAGTGAATTCCATAGTTTAACCATGGCTGTGTGGAGACACATTTCTTTTATCTGCCCTGAATTTCCTGCCAATCAATTTAATGAGATGACCCCAGGTTCTAGAATTAGAAGAAAGAGAGAAATGTCTCCCTATCCACTTTCCTCACACAAAAGAATTAAAAGAATTTAAATCTCATAATTTTATGTTATTACTTCACCTGTACATCAGAATAATTTCTTGGTGCTGTCAACCTATTGTATAGATGAATGTATTTCTACTCCCACTTAAAAAATAACATTGACTGAACTGGTATGATGGATTATTCATAAACTTTCCAACTGCTGATGGTGAGGGATGGGTGGGATGAGTTTGAGTTAAGTTATTAATGTGTCTGGACTGAAATCTCAGGCCCTAGAAAAAAGAGTAGCTTCTGTCAAAAAGACTTCTGGCTCCCCACACACACTCTTTGCCCCCAGCCTCTCTGGTGGTCAAGATCACTTTTGGCAACTAAGCATACTTATGGTGCAATCATACACATGTGAGACACAAAAATGAACTACAAGTCCAAGCATTTCCAGCCATCTTGGGCTGCAATCTGATGCCCACTTACCTTGATGCAAGAACTCAACAGGGCTTACTTCTGAGTAGACATGCATATGGTTGTTCGGCTAAACTGCAATCTTATACTGACTTACCTGAGAGAAAGCAGCATTATATTTAGCGACATTCACTTCTGAGGAAGTATATACACTACTGCCCTGTTACGACACAATCTTTGCATATTTCGACAGATAAAGTCCGGATTTTTTTCCTGCCTAAACATACATAGAATTGTGTACTTAAACCTCAGAGGACGTCGGAGTTGATCCGCAAAGGACTGCATTTTCAGAAAAAGAAAAGGACAACTCTAAACAGCTTTAAATTAAAACAGCAGCAACACACTCCACATTTTTTCAGTTCCTGGTTGCTAACCACGGGAAGAAAAGCTGTGCGAAATGCGCTGCTCTACAGCAAGAAAGCATTGCAAAGTTGTGAGTAGAAAGAGAAAGGTCTGCCCTGTAAGATTGCGATCCCGTACTGACCTGGGCGTAAGTAAGCCAGTGGGACTTACTTCTGAAGAGGAGGGCAGGGATTAGACAGCAGCGCACACAGAAGAGCTTGCAGCACACGGCGCGGATGAAGGCGGACAGAGCCTTTTGCTCTGCTTCTGGCTTCGTTCACACTGAGGAAGGGTAACGATCCATTCTGACTTACTCGTCGAACCCACTGAGGTACTTTTATCTGCCCAGGAAGGCTCAGAAAGGAAGAGCCCTCCCTCCTCACATGTTCTTGAGCACACATGCACACCGAGATACTTCAGAAAATTGCACTCTTCTGAAGTTGCTTGGTCCGAGGTTGCTGATTCCCGAGTCTTTGTTCTGTTCATAGCTTCACAAGGAACTGAAGTCTCTACACAGAAGAAAGAAAAGGGTCGTATTCATTCCATCATCTCGTATTCTCTGCTTTTGCAATTCTTTCAAAATGGACTGCATTTGGGACAGCAACTGCCATGTTTACTGACTAGCGCCATGCTGGTTGTGGCTTATGAAGGCTGGAGCCCAACAGTATCTCTCGGGCTACTCATTTCCAACCTGTCGTTCCCTAGAGGGCTGCCGCGTTTGTTTCCAGTAGCAGCCACCTGTTAGTTGCCATCCTCTTAGCTCCCACTCAAAGTAAAATCAAAAAGACGTCCATTTTTTTCTCCTGTACTATGGAATATACTACTTAGACGTCCATTGCTAGAAATGTGTCTGTTTCGACCTACTTTTGATATCTGCTGCGGCTAGACTGTTGACACAAGCTGATTACAGGGGTCACCCTTTTTGTGTGTGTGGGAGAAAGGGAAATCATTAAGGAAAAAACCGACATTTCATTTGGTCCAGATGATATCTCACATTTCGATTCACAGTGGCAGGGTTTTTTAATGCCTTTAATCTATTTTTAAACAAGTAACTGGTCAGAATGCTTGCATTTTATCTTTGAGGAGCATCAGGAAGTTTACTAGAACGTTGGATAAATATGTCCGCAGAATTTAGTCTAGCTCAAGGAACACTGGGCTCTTCACTTTTTATTCTTTCTCAACAATGTGGCTGCAAATGATGACTCCATTGTGCAAACAAAGGTTGTGGAGGAAGTAGCTATAGTTAAGCTGTTACTTTAAATTGCTGTTGTGTAACCTTAAGCACTGAAAAGGAAGAAGGCATCACCTCTTGGGCAATGGTGTGAAGCAGCAAATACAGCTATTTTTCTTAAAATGAATATTAAGTGCAGTGCTTGAAATTAATGTTGCCATTAAAGTTGCATGAAATTCTGTATGGTTATCAAAGGATTTACAAGACTACTGGGCATCCATACTGTTGTCTGTGGCTATGTACTACTATGTACTAATATGTTTATTTTTGCAGGGATGACTTTGTGTCATTGTAGATCACTTTCAGTTTTTCATACAGTTTCCAAATAGACCATAAGAATAAAGATACTGTATTGACTATGAAACCTCTACCAGCTGCCACCAAATATACTTTATTTAACAGATGCTGCCGAGGGCTTTTACAAGTTAGCAATGGGCTTATGTGACCAAAATGGCTATTTTTCTTTGTCCAGCTTGGTTTCTGGAAATGCCTTATCAAGTCTTATCCAGTCAAAAGGAATCCTGTTTCTTAACTTAGGAAGCTCCTTCTTATACTCAGCAATATGGGCTTTAGAGGTTTCTATATAGGCAGTAGCAGTCTTGCTAGTCTCTAGTTCATGGGCATCTATCTTAGTGGATTGGATGTCCACAGGCTCAAGAATCTTGAGCCCCTTAAAACTTCTCAAATCCATCTACCATGCCAGCTTTGACAATTTCAGTCTTGTAAAAAGCCCAGTCTATGGGTGGGGAGACTGTGGCAAAGAAGCAAGCTTGGAAACATCACTGAATGTTTTCCAGGCATTAAACATGGTTTTCTGATTGGGAGGCACTCACCAAGTAAATGCCAACCAGTTATTGTTTTCATAGCAGTTCTGCAGACAGCCATTGTTACAAAGAGTATGTTGCTATCTCAGGAAGGGACATTAAAAGAACTCCTGTCAGGAGACAACAAAACCTCAACACCATTTCATATAGTGAAAAATCTGGAGGGCAAAACACAGAAATTAAGCACAGCTTGGCTAACCAGAAGCTGGCCTACAGGAGCCACCCCAGCCCAAAGGATGTTTCCCACCATTATTTTAGTCATTATATAACCAAAATAAACTCAGTAACTTTATTTTTATGGCATAGGCATAGAACTACCACTAGAAACAACCATTAATTGAACAAATTTGAAGATGTTTGTTAAAGACAATTATTTACAAAAGAGAATGCAAAAATAAAATTCTTCAAATAATAAGACTGCATAAAGGTTCTTAAGTAAACATGCCTGGTTCCTATTCCTAACAGGTAACACAGTTTTTTCCAGCTAAATAAGCTCTTCACAGTATTTTCTTTAGGTCAGATTTTCCAAGATGTCACCAGAATCCATTCTTCACAAACAGGAGAAATAGTCTCTCTCTGCTACAGCCATTCCTGCTCCTTCTGACTTCTGGCTTGATTCAGATATTTCAGGAACTACTTGCTGAATTTCCATCTGATCAGTTAGAAAAGTAAAAGTGGAACTTCCAAGAGAAAGGGAAGCATGCAGAGGCTTTTCCAGGATCCATTGTATCTTAGTTGCAATGGTTGCCTCCCCTTTCCATTCCCAGGAATATCCCTTAAACTCCTTCTCTAAGGTCATAAGAGAAGCAGTGGTGTAGTTCTTCTTGTTCCAGCTGAAAGGGGGTAGATGGCAGATCATCAGAGCCAAGGTTGGAGCAGAGCTCCAGTTCCACATATGGACACCCAAAAATACCTGTGTCTCTCTGTCTGTTGTCTTGGGCCCTTTCACTTTTAAATGTTTTCGATAATTTTGTGATCAGATCACTTTCAATATAATACATTGTCCCATTTCAGTCCACTTTAGTTCACTCACATCAAGTAGTATGATGTTTAACCATTTCATTTCCTGCTTTATGTTTTCCAGTTTGCCTTGATTCATGTTTCTCACGTTCCATGTTCCAGTTGCATGTGTTGTACAGCATCAGAAATTCCTTTCACCTCTGTGCATGCACCCCTAGACATCCTTTCAACTTTGATTTAGTTGTATCATTATAGATAGCACTTTTTTGTACTTGTCACTTGCTTTCTTCCAGTAGCTTCTTGAATACCTTCCAACTTGGTGGTGAGGGGATGGTTTCATCTTCTGGCCCTCTTGTTTCATTTTTTACTGTTCCATCATAGGATTTGCAAGGTAAGAAAATTCAGAAGTGGTTTACCATGTATTATGTGCACAGTACTAACTAGAGTTAGCTTGAGGGTCACTTCCTTTGTCTGTGAAATATCCCCTTTCAGTGTCCCCTTCAACTACTGCTGTTGCCCAGTAGCTGCAGAAGTTTTTCTGGCCCCATCATCATTAGAGATATCCATTCTCTTCTGCTGATGTGACCTTTACTCCTGAAGAGGGTAGTCCAGTATCTCTGCTTTGACCATTCTGCCTTGGGTGATCCTGCTAGGAGACCAACCTAGTGAGACAGTTTGGCCTCCTGGCATCATTGCTATCAGCTTCTTCTGACACTCTCAACCCTTTCACCAGGTTAAGGTGTACATCCCATACAGTGCTAAAAACTCTACAAATGGGAAACCCCCTGAAAGGGTTTTTTTTAATTACTTTCCTTTGAGATTACTGAAAGGATTTGTCAATAAGTAACAATAATTTATTTGAAGTTTACTAATTGCAGAAAATGCTAAAAGAAAAACATGGCAAAAATTGTGCAGGTTGTTCCTGGAAGATACACAATGTTGTTGCTATAATTCATAATGGAATGAAAAGACCAATGATGAATTTAGGCAATTACTTTAATAACAGTGTGTGCTTGGTCCCTACTCAGTTGCTATTGCTTAATAAGAAAAATGACCCAATGATTAAACTAATCATTGGTAGCCACAGTTATCACATAAGAATGATTCAAGCAAACTCACAATTCAGGAGGCCTTCCAAAACTGTATTTTGGTATTTTTTAAATTTAGCCCATTCTAAAACGCACAGAAAAAGAGTGGGAAGTATTTTTGACACACATTCATTACTACATGCCTAGGAGCCTATAGTAATATCTTTGCCATATCTTAACACTGTAGGTTAGAATACTGAAGAGAAATATTTGTATTTGTAAATCAATGTATTTTTTGTATTGTTATATTTAATGGTAATTTATTATGTACTATTGTATTTCAATGTATTTTATCATGTTGTAAGCCGCCCCGAGGTTTCGGCAAGGGGCGGCATAGAAATGTTATAATAATAATAATAAAAAAAAAATACAACCCACTTTACAGGCAGATTTACAGTGGAATCATAAACTCAGAAGCTGCATTGCACACAGTGGAGCTTACTCCAAGGAAAGTTTACAAGACTGCAACTTTAAGCCTCACATATTGAAATCTGCCAGGGGAGAAATCAGCGTTAAGACTTCCTCTGTAGTTTCAAGCCCGCCCCTTTCTGGACAGCAGAGCAGGTGGTACACCAGCACCATCCCAAACCATCTTGTGTAGCCACAAAAGATACAAACACTCCAAATAAGTCGTCACCTGGACCAGAACCCTAGAGAGATGGAACTCGTACAGGTACAAGACCTCTCTTAGAATTAGGCAGGTAAACAACTGTCCTGCACTCCTTACACTAGTCTGTTGCCTTCAGCAGTGGTTATGTATACGCTGTCCTATTGCCAATGCGGAGTAAGGTTAGACTACTGTAAATGCAATGCACGAGGAGGTGGGAGCGGGAAACCATGCTGGCCTTTCCGCTTGCAGCAGACGGTATAGGGCCAGTTATGTGGATTATTAGGGTAGTGCCTCCTGGCTCCTCCAATATGCCTAGATTTGCGCTGCGTTAAAGTATCTGCTCCGCGCACACGCAAAACAGTTCTCCGCGGGCCAATTTTACCTCTTTTGGAGGGAGTGAAGTGGCCGAAAAAGGCATTCAAAACTTCGGAGGTCAACATTCTCATGCAGGGAGGCTAGACAAAGAAATAGAACTAATGTGCCTCTCTCTTCAAACCTTAAATATAACCCCAACGTCTCAGAAGGAACGCCTAAGCAGTGGCGAGGAAGCCTCTCCTGCTCTTTCTGCCCGCTCCGTCACGCGGGAAGGGCCACACGGCCGCGAGCCTTCGCCCTTCCCCGCCCCGTTTCTTTTTCTCTTCTTAGCCGGTCATCGTAAGGCAGGCCAAGCGCCTTAGCGGGCCGTAGGCTTCCCTAGGCCAGAATGAGCTCTGACGAGACGGCCACACAAAGCAGAGCACAGCCCTGTCTGCGCTTTCCGCCCGCCCCTCGCCCGCTCCCAGCCTGTGCCGACGTGGCTGGCCGGGCGGAGAGCGGACCGTGCAGGGGGCGCGCCGGGCCAGGCTTGCAGGCAGCGGCACAGCGGCGGTAAGGGGGCAATGTGGCTTCTTTTTGTCTCTTTTCCCCCCTTCAACCACTTCTGGCCGAGAGAATCTCTTTAAAATTCGCCTTCCTTGCACCTAAAGAACAAGAGAGAAACTTCGCTTTATTTCCTGCTCTATTTTTCTTTTTTTAATTCTGAAGAGCAAGGGACGGTGTCTCTCTTCTCCTTTTGTCTCTTTGCACGGAGTTTTGGTGCGATCGAGAATGATCACCATAATTGTTCACCTTGTCTTTTCCCCATCAAAAAAAGTGTGTGTGTGTCCGTCCTGCGCGCTCGAGTGTGTGTGCGCGCGCGCGTGCGGAGGTGGGTTCTCTTTGTTTCTTGCCAAAAAGAGGCACGGCGGGTTTGTGGGTTCGAAACATTTTAAAAGACAGAAGTTGGAGGCTGTTGCTTTATTACTTTCCCCATATTTATTAGTACATTTTTAATCTGCCCAGTAACCGAAGTTTTCTGGGCAGATCACAACCAATTGCAATTCGAATTACTGAAAAATGCAACGCTAGGACGGTTCTGCAATCCTGATGGCCACTTTAGACTGTGGATGCAAAAATAATAGTGTAGGTGTAGTGCATACGTTAATACTGGTTGAGAGAGATAACCTAAGGCTCCAGTCTTGTCCACCTGGAAGTAAGTCGCATCGAATTCAGTGGCGCTTCTGAGTAAAAATGTGTAGTGCTGCACTGAAAATATGTTTTGTGGAGTATCCGATGAGGTAAGGGATGTCAAACTCAGACTAGTCTGTAATCCCTGCCACGTCTACATGTCTTTAAAATGCCCTTTTGTTCCCTTGCATTTTGTGTGAACTGGCCCTTGCTTTCAAAGAATGGCTAGAAGTTGAATACCATTGCATAGATAGCTAGCAATCAGCAGATGTCAGTCGAATGCAAGGAAAGGAGTGTCTTAATTTATAGTTGCTCAAAACATAGTTTTGAACCGTGCAGATAGCTGCATTTTTATTCATGTATACTCTATTTATGTACAATTTAGGTGAAATTCCTAATATGGAAGTTTATAAGGATGAAGGCGCTGAACCCAGCGCTTTCTCCACTTTGCCTTGCCTTGCCATACAAGTTGCTTCATGATAAGATATTCCAGGGGATAGCCATGCTAGTCCACTGCAGTAAAAATAACTCACTGTAACACCTTAAATTCAGACACATTTGTACGGCATAAGCTTTCATGGTCTAGAGTCCACTTTATGATATTTGATGCAATCATGACATCTTTGATAATTATATTTAGAGCTGCAGTGAAGAACTGCCAGGCCATGGTGGTAAACAAATGCAAAAATAGAATAGAATAAAAATGTCTTTATAAAACAAAATCAAAAGGTCTGAAATGGTTATCACCAACCTCCTCTCAAAGGTAATAATGGCAATGCACGTGGTGGGAGACTCAGCCCACATCAGGAAGAGGAAGTGGTCTTCCTGGCACTGGCCAAATAGCTTTGCTCAGTGCAAGTTTCCATGGGTGAACAGGGCAGTACATGCAGGAGCTCAGCTGGTACTGGGAAGAGTAGTTACTCTGCCGAACATCATCTGAGTGGCTTTGTTGTCCACCAAAAGTACCATGTGAAGAAAGGAACTCAGTTGTTCCTAAGAGGAGAGGAGATTTCGTCCATCCCACAACAGTTACTTCCAGGGCTTTTTTTTTTTGTCATAGAACGCACCGGAATGGCGTTCCAGCACCTTTTTTTGACGGATTTTTCCATGTGATTGTGAATCGCCCTGTCGGGCGTAGCAGGTCGGCAGCAAACAGCATTAAAATAGTGCCTGCGGGCTGCGTGTGTGTCGGTGCTGCTCGGGAGGGCGCTGTTAGGCTCGGGACGCTGCTCAGCTTGGGATCGGTCTTGTGGTCGCGCGCTCAGTGCTTACTGCCGGCGGTGACCATTATGTTTATGTATGTGTAGCGTGACTGACCCTAAGAGGTGAGTTCCGGCACCTTTTTTTTTTTTACAAAAAAAGCACTGGTTACTTCACTTCAACCTATTTCTGTGCCCCTGGCCTAGATCGATAGGAATATAGTGACCTGGATCACATATTATGGCGACGGATGGTGGGTTATTTAATTCGCAGTTCATGGGGACACCAATTGGAAGCATTTCTTTTTCACAAATATTTCAGTGAGTAGTAGAATGATACTGGGTTAGTAGTAGAATGATACTGGTTTTTATTGCTACTGCTGCTGCCATGTTAGAATTTTAGCTGCTAGACACTATTATTTAAACGGTTGGTTTAATTTGACTGCTCAAATGGTTTTATTAGGAAATGAATGTTGAGTTTATTGTGTTTATTTTATTGATTTTTATGAATTGTCTGTTTGGAATTATTTTAATTGTTGTTGAATGGAGTGTAAGCTGCCCAGAAATCCGCATGGCTATGGGTGCAGCATACAGATGATGATGATGATGATGATGATACCTATGAGATACTTCTACTTTGGAGGTCGCCAGCATGGCATGCAAATCCAGACCAATGGGTTAAGGGCTAAACAACCCAGGAGTTAACCTAAGGTTAATTAACCTAAGATACGGTGCGGTGATGTATAACCAGCCATTTCACATTCTGTAGTTCTTCAGTTATGAGGAGATGTTGCTGTTGTTCAAATGTTTACTACATAGCCTACTGCAAATACATAGATTTATTTCTCATCCTGCAGAATTAAAAAAAATGTCTGGTGGAGAAGGTGCCATGTTAACTGAAGAGGAACACAAAGAAATATCAGAACCAGACAGTCATGTGTCAGCCTCTGACACAGAGATGCTCAATGAAAAGACAGAACCAGTATCCCCAGAAAATGATAGGGGCCAAGTTTCTGAAAGGACCAGCAGTGAACCAGAAGGGGACCTGAGGACCTTGGAGCATCATTTGAATGAGGAGCATTCCAGTGGAGACATCGCTGAGAATGTTATTTCTGAGTGCAGTGAATCTGTGAGCCTTGAACCAGAACCTGGATCTGAAGAGCTGAATGAAGAGAGTGACCCAGTAAGAAATGCTTTTTTTCCATTGATTATTAATTATGTTGGTATAATGTTCTGACAGTTGTAGCCCAGTTAGGATAGTTTTGGACCTTCATTAGTTCAGTAGCCCTGTGTTGAGTTCAATTCATTGCAGAGAGAGATGGGGAGAACTTGATGCAAGCTTACCATCTGGAACAGCGCTATCCAATGTTTATCACAATGTTTACCTTCAGTTTTAATATACCCTTGGACCTTTTACATCTTCATTGCCTTATGATGAAGAAAAGCATGTGCATGCAAAACTTCTTGTCACACTTTTTCCTAGTAATTGGCTTTACCATTCTTTATTCTGGCTAATTTTGGGTGGGTGGGTGAATGGGGCATAATGTCATCTCTTTGCATTCATAGAGGGAAAGTAATGCATTAGAAGAATGTGCATTGCCATTCCAGGGTGAGGGTGGCATTGCATTTAAAAAGTTGTAATAGAAACAATAAACTGCTTTTGTCTATAAAGTAAGTGTTTGCATTCTTCTGAGTGTGGGTTATTGTACATCATTGGTTTCTGTGAAGACAAAATGTTTCAGAATACTCTGTAGTTTTTTATTTTTGGTTATCAGCATTCAAGTATTACTCAGTTTTGATATATCTCAAAACTGCCTCCATTTTTATTTTTATTGGAATACTTTCTTTGAAAACCAGGGATTACTATATTATGCCCCCAAATGCAAACAGAAAATGTTATGATGCAATACTGTTTCTGTTGTTAATAGCATTAGATATACATATAGGCTGAATAATTTTTAGAATCCATACATTAAAAAATAAATCCAGTTAATCAGTTCCCTTAGTTTTGAAAACTAAGACTTTCAGTAGTAACAGCATAATGACCAGGTTCACATGGAATGCCAGTCTACTGGCATATACCACAGTGAGGTGGTGGAACCCCCCGAGTATCCAAGATGAGCCCAATAAATGATCAGACTCATCATGAGTGATTAGCTTCCTCCCCCTTTTCCTTCCCCCTTATTCCTCCTCGCAGTATTCCAGGGGACACTACAGGGAGGAACAAGTCTTTTCTTCTGACAATTATGATCATAACTGATTTCGGCTCACTGGAGTTGTCAGAGTGTCCTCATTGTGCAAATGGAGGGTATGCCCTGAAGTGCAATGGGTCAGCCTCCAGCTGTGGCTGAGATAGCATTCTGCACATTGGTGCGTCAGAGACTGGAGCTTGACTCTGCTATGCTTCTGGGCACAAGTACTGTACAATGGTGAAGATGCAGGAGCCTTCGCTGATATCAATTCTATGTTGCCAACTAGTGCCTGGCAGCAGTTTGTGGCAAAGATATCATCTCACCCTGCTGCTTGAGAGCTCTGTTCTCAAACAACAGGCAGAGAAGCCCAACCTGATGCATACAGCTGCCCCCAAGTGCAGAGTGGTATGGGTTAGGATGGATGACAGTTGCACTATACGCCACTGCCGCATACTCAAGGCGATGGAGTAGAGCGAACATGCACACATGCCACTGGCTGGAAAGGTCCCATCTTGATCCAGTGGTGAATTAGAAACAGGGCACCAACTTAAGAGGACATTCTCTGGCACTGTTGAAACTACTTGCAGTGACAGCAGAGCTTGAGTAGAGAAGCAACCCATCTTTAGCGGAGATGGGTTGCTTCAGGACCCAGTGGTGCGAGTCTCCACTGTGTGCCACCACCACAAACCCCTAGAGCTTGTGACAGTGACACACAGACTCGGTAACAGCAGTGATCTCTGCTACATGGATGCTTAAGATACTTTTGTGGTATCAGAAGGCCCATTGGTTAGCTGCTTGTGAACAGCAGCGGAACAGCTTGCTTTGTTGTTGGACTTCACTCACGGTAACCCACCCTGAGTCAAACAAACCCAACAACAAAGTTTTGGTCCTTATCGTGGTTGCTGATCACAATATCAAATTGTTGCAACCGCAAGTGAGGTCTTGTGGTGCAACAACCAACCAATTACAATAGTCAAAGGTTTGTTATTGTGGTATGTGATCCCAGACAGTATTTCATCTGGCAAAAGTCTCCGCTGGAAATGCGGACAGGCAGCAAGGAGTTGATACGGAGCTTTCTCCCCTGCAGACTGCAGTCACTGAGTGTGGAAAGCATGCCTCCTTGGCATGAACTGATCACAGATATACACTGACTGTCTGCTCTCAGTAGGTGGATCCATATGAGTTGCACCAAGGGAAGAAGGCATCCTTGTTTGGCTTATATCTGGTGGGAGAATTCAAGCAGGAGCTGGACTTTTCTGTTTCAGTGACGCTGGTAGCTTGCCTCTGCGTTTGTTAGAAGTTCAGCCTATCTGCGCCCCGTAAACTGTTACTTATTCCACACAATTTATTTCCGCTGTGTGCCTTTAGGCCCTAGTTAGAGAATAGGAGTGAATGTTATGCAGGAGTGAATCAAAGATGGGAGATAAATGCTGGCTTTCATGTGTATGATTAAACTCGTCTTTGTGTTACAGTATCATGACATTTAAAGAGTTTGACCAAAAGGTGGAAGCATAGGCCTGGTGGTGGGGGAGTATTGCTCATCCTTACTGCAGCAGCAATAGCTGCTCTTGTCAGTGGGGAGGGTCTGGTCAGCAGAATGCAGTCTGTTTTAATCAGATGGCATTTAGCTAATTCTTCATCCTAGAATGCAAGCTGAAAACAACCTGATTGGTTTTAGATGAAAGGGATGCAAACCAAAGACTGCAGGATATGTTTGTTCCATCTGACATTTGTTCCATCTGATAGTGCATGAAGAAAATCATGCATGTAAATAACTAATATATCAGCCAAAGCTTTTAAAGCTCAGTCAAAATGTGAAGCCTTGAAAAAAGGCAACTCCCCCTAATACACTGTTATAGGATTTTTAGCTTTCTTAATGCTGTATTGCAGCAGTTCTGAAGTTGCCAAATCTCCGGGTACCCTTTCTACACTGACCTGTCTGCCAAGGAACCCCTGTGCCTTGCAGAGGATTCTAGGAGGATTCTGAGTAGCACTGCGAGTGGATAAAGGGCATAAACCTCACCCAATGGCCTGTATGAGCAGAAGGTATACCCTAATACGGCCTTCCCCAGCTTGGGGCTTTCCAGTGTTAATTATTTTTAGTCTCTCAAGTGGGAACTATTCTTTAGGCAGATTATAAAAAGCCTAACAAAAAAATAAATAGCATACAGTGCAAAGCGTGTGTTGGACTGTATATCCTGTGTGGTGGACTCGAAGTTGAGAAAACCAGATTCTAGTCCCTGCTGAGCCATGGGTGACTTTGGGCCAGTCATGGATTCTCAGTCTAACCTCCCCTACAGGGTTATTGTGAGGATAAATGAGAGAGAAAGAGAACCTTGTGAACCACCTTTGTTTCCTTGGAAACAGTGTAATGTTATAGTAGTAATAATTTTCCATCAACCCCAGCCTGTATGGATGGCCATGCTAGCTGGAGATGATGGGAGTTATGGTCCTCCACATCTGGAAGGTGCCAGGTTGGTGAAATCTACCCAATATATACCTGACATTCTTCTGCAACTCAGCATTGTAAGCATACATTATTGTAGTAATAAGCAAGCCGTTCTCTGAGGAAAGTTAATCAACATTTCTGATTCAGCCACTAGAGAGCTGTCCAAAGAAACTCCAAGATTTCCTCAAATGCAATGCCAAACCACTGTAAAATTGGCCGGTAAAGTGGTTAGGAGATAAAAATTACAAGTCCATTTCCTGCAGCTGTTGCTTTCAAGATATTCTTAAAGTTTCGCTCAGAAGTGAAAAACACAGAACAATGTTCCATGTCTCTCTCTGCATGGAGAAAAGGGAAGGGAGGAATCAGGTGAGCTGGGCTTTGGGACAGAGATGAAGGAGGAAGAGACCACTCTATGGAAGCAGAAATCATGTGGTGAAAGGTATCTCTAGGGATACCTCTCCTGTAATGCCTGGCTTTGAAGAACAAACTTCTCAGGGCCAGGCATTTGAGAAAGCAATGCCAGTCATTTTTTACCATGGAGATGATACTTTAGAGAACTCTTTTTGCCATGAAAATTAAGAGGTACATAAAAATTTCATCACACCACCCAGACACTCTCCTTACCAGGAGAAGACAGAAGTAGTTCCCTTTTCCCCTCCTCTTTTGCCCAGGGATGTTGCTCTGCGCTGTGCCATAAGGAAAGGCATGGTGGCTCATGGCAGTAGCTCTTGGGAAGTCTACCAGTTCCGATACTGATATGCCAAGACTCCTAGCATCCTTTCTCCCCATGTTCCACCTATGTTCCTACTGACGCCAGACTGGTAAGTAAAAGAAGAATGGTGTATGCTTCAGTATTGGCAGCAAAGTTTTTTTTCCAGGTTCTTTGAGAATATTCTAAATTATTTCCATTTCTGAAATATAACCCATCTTGCTGTATTTCTTGAAGTACTGTCGGGGGGGGGGTGTTTCTGTTTCTCCAAATGTCAGTTGCTATATGTGAACAACGCTAATGGTTGACTATGTCCTTAATATATGGTTTGTTTTCTTACAGCACATGGATACACCACCTAAAGGAAGTGGATGGACAACCTGGGGATCGTGGGGGAAATCGCTGCTTTCAACAGCATCTGCCACAGTTGTTAAGTATCCAAGCCCATAAAATCAGTATATAAACATTAAATATAATTGCTTTGATTTCTGCTTTTGAGGCACAGTATCTTGACGAAAAAGCTACTGTGAAATGCTTCTTCTCTCCCTTACAGGGCCAAACAAAACAGGAACAACATTGGGATAGCAGTAGACCCAACTACATTGGCAGTGCTTAAATTAGCCTTAAAAAAAGGTGGGAAGAAACAGTGCAGCAGCTGTTGGATTGGTTTTTGTTGGTTCACATATGCTATGTACATACGTTAACCCATAACACATCGCATGATAACCAACCCCTTTGCAAATCTTAGTATATGTGAACTGCCTGCATTGAGGTGATATTGTAAACTGCCCAGAGAGCTTCAGCTACAGGGCAGTATAGAAATGAAATTGATTATGATGTTATATGTAAAATGAAATCTCTCTCCATGGAGCTTGATTCTTTGATAGCTGTTTCTTGCATGCTGGTGGTCATCTCTTGAAGTTGCAGGTCCCCTTTATCCAGACAGGAGAAGAAGCAGCTTCCCCAGCTTACGGATTATGAAAAGCTCAAAGCCTCAGTGTGAGAATAGAATCAAACACCTTGATTTTATTCCTCTGTAGCAGCCAAAACCGGTTTCACTCTGTCAGGTAACAAATATGATGTGAACCCATCTTTCAGAAGACAACTCAGTCCCGCCTAATCTGATCAGTAAACCATTTATTTTAAAAAGTAGTTAGATTTAAATTTCAGTACTTCAAGTTAACTGGGCTGCAAATGAGCCTCTTGGTGAATCAGTACTAGCAATCAAAGTAAAGCCACTAAATCTGGCAACAGAACTTCAGCCCCTTGTTTTGTCCCCTTCTTGGTAATTGCATTACTGCAGCTTTGCCACTTACTCAGTCACCACTTTTCTGTATCTTGCTTTATTAGTAAAATATTGCACTAGAACAATTGTGTACGTGGTTATGTCTGATCTGTGTGATCACACTCATGTGGGTGTGAACAAACATGGCTTCACAGAAAGGTTACAGATGATCTGAAAATGAAAAAGGGACATGTCTAAGAAGTGAAAGGAAGTCCAGGCTACAAAGCAATAATACAGGCAGGTAGCACGGAATTGCAGGGATGGAGCTACGAAGGCTGAAGCAAAGAATGAACTGAGGTTAAAAGCAACAAAACAGCCTCCTTCATGTATGTCCAAAGTACAAGACATAGAAAAGAAATGGAGCTTTATACTATGTGAACTGTCCTGAGCACTTGTGTGGAAGGACAGGATACTAATGCTTGTAATCAATAAATAATAAATAAACTTCTCAATGTGGAAGGCAAAAAGATAACAGATTACAAAAGGCAGAAGTACTCAATTCATAATTTGGCTCAGTTTTGTCCCAAAAGAAGAGCTATGGCCTTCCTGATAAAGGGGAAGTACTCCAAAACTCCTTTATGTAGTACTGGTTAGGCCTCATCTGGAGTACAGTTTAAGAAAATGCAGACAAGCTGGAATGGGTTCAGAGGAGGGCAACAAGGATGATCTGGGGATTGGAAACAAAGCCCAATGAGGAGAGATTGAACAAAAATGGCCATGTTTAACCTTGAGAAGACCGAGGGGAGATAGGATAGCACTCTTCAGGGACTTGTCACATAGAGTAAGGCCAGGAACTTCCCAAAGTACAGGACATGGAATAATAAGGTCAAGTTACAGGAAGCCAGGTTCCAGCTGAATAGAAGGAAGAAATTCCTGACTGTTAGAGCTGTACAACAATGGAACCAATTATGGGGGGGGGGGTTCTCCCACAGTGGAGGAATTCAAGATGCAACTGGACGGCCATCTGAGAGGAATGGTTTAGCTTGGAGTCCTGCACTTAGCATGGGGTTGGACCTGATGGCTGCCTGGCCCTTTCCAACCGTACAATTCTATCATTCTGGTACTCTATTCAAATTAAAGGATTTTACCCTTTTAAAAGTTGTAAGGCTTTTCTACATGAGAGATTTGGTCTTTGTTCAACATTCCATGTTCACAATTGTTTATCAGTCCTTTAGCCAACATAACCTTCCACTTTCCTTTCTGTATCTAAATGGTGCTTCAGGCAAGTTTTTTTAGTGTGGCAAAAAGGTGGCATTTAATTGTGAAAGCAAAAGGAAATACAATGTCCTCTTCTATGTTTGTGCTAAAAGCAGCACAGGAAACATTCTTTGTGTGGTGTTCAGACATAAATTCTGCAACAAGAGTAGATGTAGCAGATTAACAGGAAAAAGCTCTTGATTTCATAAAGGTAAAACTGATATATGTTGAACTGTTGGATTGATCTTGCAATGCCTGGTTTCTCTGTTTCCAGCATTATCTTTTTAATGTGTTTAGTTTATAATGAGAGTAATTTCATTAGCAATGTTTTCAAGCAGCAATTCATTTTTTCTAATTATTTTAATTGCTATAACTATCTTTGTTATGCAGAACAAAGTGGTTTTCCTTAAATACTGTTTTACAAGCTTGGATACATTTTTATTAAAAATGCAGAGCTGTCAGTAAAATGAATGATCTGCAAAAATATTTGTCCATAAACTGTTTTATTAATGAAATCACAAATGACATTCTTTAATAGACCTATTTTTTTCTGGAAAGTTTTGTGAAACAATCAACTTGAGGAATGGAGAAGCTGAGTTCTGCAGAATATCTGGATGTTTTGCTGTTGCTATTGCTGATGAAAGTTAGAGGCTATGATTATATAAAATCTAGAATTTTATATGTGCATGTGTGTTTCTATCTTTTCATATGTAAACACACATTTCAAATATACAGACATATATGCAAATATACATACATGCACATATACACAAACAGATGTATATATGTATTAGCAAAAGCACAGATTGAGTATTGATCACAAGACTCACCTGGATATACACACATACTTGCAACCAGTTAAGGACTTGCACTTTTGCTAATTGCATATTGATCTGGTTTTAATAATTTATCAAAGTCTAACAAATATATTAAGAAAAGTTGCATCCCCAAAGAAACCAGTAATTGAAAATGTGATTAGATTATCTTTTTGAAGCATATTCAAAAATATTGGAAAGTAGTGAAGGAATATGAAATTATTCATTGGTGAGTACAGAATTAACTGTTCCTTAATGAACATTGCAAAGAAGATCAATGCAAGCGGTGATTAAGAATCTCCTAAAGTTAATTTAACACAATTAAATTCCAAGCAGGCTAATTCAAAGGCCTAAAAGAAGTGAATGCTGAAGTAGCTATGTTTGTAGATTATCCAAATCAATTTTAAAAATGATTAAAATAGATTCTGAGAGAATCCACAAAACATATTAAAAATAGAATGTAAAGCTGATCCAGACCACATTAGTTGAACTTCACTAGTTCCCACTGAAATCAGTAGAATGGGACAGGTTAGTTGTGGCTTAACTTAAATTCCATTGACTTCATTGGAAAATGTGCAACTAACTTCATTTGGATGCAGCCCAATGTCAATCCAATTGGTATTATCTTCCTTTTGGTTTCCAAATTGGGTACTTCTACACGGAAAAGATCATTTGGATAGCAGCTTCTTAGAAGTATGTTGCACTGTTGCATTTAACCAGGCTGAACATAACAGTGACAAGGATTACAGCATAATTATAATTATTATCACAGAGCTTTCTATTATTTATTTATTTGATTGATTGATTGATATGCCGCCTCATTAGCCATGGACTCTATAGGTGGCTTACAACATATGCAATGCAATACAACAATGCAAAGTCATGTTTAGAAGTGATACTTAAAGGTGTGAGTTCCTGGCCTCCCATCAGATGGGGGTTCAAATCTCCAGACAGCCAAAATGTAAAAGTCTTTTCTATTAACCTTGGCTGAGGCCTGCATACTAATTAGCAACTCTCTGGGGATGCACTATATGCTTTTGCTGGGACTTATTTACACCAGCTGCTGGAATCAGCTGCTCCTGTCCACCGCCATGGCACCTTGATCTAGGACTCTTCACTGATATCAATGGGGGGTGTAGGTGTCTTATGCCTCATTTTTGCAGTCAGAATGTTGCATTATCACTGGGGGTCCTTTCATTGGGAAATGAGCCCATTTATCCATGCTAAAGTCCCATTCCACTCCCTTCAAATCCACCCCAAGTCTCTCCTTGCAGTGACTATGTCTCACAGATACTGTGATTATGCTTCTGATACATACGTTCTCTTCTCCCTCATGCAGCATAATTAGAAAGCAAAACTGCCCCAACCTGTGATAAGTCAAGAATAGATTCTAATGGTCAAAACAGTAACATACTTATTTCAGTTTATCAGAAGAATAAATGTTTCATACTGGGCTTTTCAGTTTGGCTGCCTTGTGCCCCCACCCGACCCCCAGCCCAGGTAGTTTGTCCACACTGTTGCAATATCTTATGTTGGAGTATAATGGTCTTTGGTAGATAGTTATTATTGAATTTACCTGGTAACCCTGTAAATTCCAGCTAGGGATTACAAAACCTTGAAATGGAACTTTCCTTCTCATCCATTTTCTTAGCCCTTTCTTGCATCTTGTTTTAATTGGATATCACTGAAGCATGAAAATACAGTTTGTTCCAAACTAATAATGATATATTTTACCACAGTGGTAGTTTCTCATAAAATGTTTATTTATATTTTGATTTATAAGCTGCACTCAATTAACCACATGTTGCTGTTAACAATAAAGAGAATGAGTGATCCAATAAAATAAAAATGAATTCTCTCCAATTGAAGCAAGTGTTAAGTGCAGCATGATCCTAAGTATATTTATTCAGGGTCATCCTTGGTAAGTGTTTTGGGGTTGTTTGAAAAACATTCAGATCTGGCTAGATTGTTTCTCAAGTATCCTACAATTGATTCATGTTCTTCCAGATATATTGTGCATTGCAGAAGTATTAATCCCCCTTTGACTTTTGCACATGTTGTTCAGTTACAACGTAGAATTGAAATAAGTTTCATTAGCATTATTACCATTTGCTGTACAAGCTACACTCAGCATTGTGAAGGTGCAAAATATTTTTATTGAGGCACAACAGTTAAGTAAACTGACAGTTGTTGATTGTATAAATATTTATCCGCCCAGTCAATATTTAGTAGAAGCATCTTTTTTGTATTTTATTTGATGTTGTAAGCCGCCCCGAGGCCTCGGCAAGGGGCGGCATAGAAATGTTTTAATAATAATAATAATCTTTAGCAGCAGTTACAGCTTTGCACATCTGGATATTGTACTGTTTGCCAGTTCTGTCAGGTTGGATGGGGACCACTGGTAAAAAGCAGCTTTTAACTCTTACCTACAGATTTTCAATTGAATTGCAGTCTAGGCTTTGAACTCATGTTCTTGTTTTTAAACCACTCCAGTATTGGTGGTTGTGTATTTAGGGTTATCATCCTGCTGGAAGAGGAACCTCTCCTGTCTTAGGCTCCTTGCAGAATGATTTTCCTCTAAAATTGCCCTGTGTTTGGGTGCATCTATCTTGCCCTCAATCCTGATCTGTTTCCCAGACTCTGACAAGAAAGTGTCCTACAACATAATACTGCCACCAACATGTATCACCACAGGGTGGTGTTGCCAGGTCAAAGAGTACTGTTGGCAATTATGTTATGCAGCAAGGCCTGAAAGTTCGGTTTTGGTCTCATCAGACCTGATAACCTTTTTACACAATTCTTGTGACTGCCACATGCCTCATCACTCTGAATGGGCTTTGATATGGGTTTGTTTCAGCATGGCTTTCTTCTTGCCACTCTTCCATAAAGCTCAGCTTTGTGGATCATCTGGGTAATAGTTGAGCAGAACTCAACTATCAGCTGTGGAGCTCTCCAGGTCCTTCAGAGTTACCATTGGCTTCTTGGTTGCATCTTTAATTAATGCCTTCCTTACCTGATCACTGAGTTTTGGGGGATGGCCTTCGCTAGGCATAGGTGCAGTTAGTACATATTCAGTTCCAAAAGGTTGTGTACCTCTGCTCTAATACAATCATAATATTTAACATTTGCACTGTGTCTTTGCATGTTCAAAGCACTGCATATGCAATTTTATACAGAAACCTTGTAAAGTTGGTTGGCATTATCTTACTCATATTCCAGATGTGGAGAGAGGGCTGGCTAAAGCTAAAAGAGAACAAAACATGTCCACAAGTTTTCCATTGATTAAATTATCCCACTAAACAGTATTTTGTTATTCATTCTCTCCCTCCCTCTCTCTTTCTCTCTCTCTCTGAGATTTTCAGATACATATACAGAAATATGTGCAGAGAATGGTTGTATATAAATGCCTTTGTTCTGTGGCAGGTCATGGATTAACAGCAGTCAAGGAAAAAGCAGCCACTCTCAGAATTCATGTCCCATCCTCAGGAGCTTCCGAAAGTGCACATCCTGACACTGATGAGAACTCTGTCACAGGTGCTAAGTGATGCCTTGTCCTTTTTTCAGTGGAAAACTGCAGTGCTTAGCTCGGACTGGGTGGTGAAGGGAACATATTATACACAGAGACTTAGCCAGAATAATAGTCACAACATTGTTGACTCTTGCTTGAATAGGCTTGGCAGCAGCATTTTTTCATTAGTCTGTCTGCTGCATGATGCCAGGACTGTTGGTGCATGGCAGGATGAGGGACTTTGATGGCACAGATCAGAGAAATGAACCCTTCCCAGCACCCCAGGCATGGCCAGCTTGCAGCCTCCCTTCTTGGTGCCCCCATCCTTGAGATCCCTTTCAAGAATCTCCACCACAGGGTAGTAAGGAGCCATTCTGCTCCACCACAAATAATGGTTCCAGCCCAATGCCTGTCTCGGTTAATAACTGGAAATGCATGTTATAACATGAAGCATCCACAAAGAACTTACTAACAGCTGAGATCAACTTGTTTACAATGGAATTCATCCTACAGTAGGGAAGGCAACAAAAATCACCCCATCTTTGCCATTTGGTAGGCAGGTAAAATTGCTTCCTAGCCCCATTCACTGCTAACTACTTCTGCCATTGCAAAGTGTTCTGATAACCTGGAGAAGGTGTGTGGATGGGTGGGAAGCTAGCAGTTACAGCCTCTTCTGAGGTCTGCTTTGAGGAGCCTTGGGTTAAACCGGAGTAAGATCTCTTTCCAGTGGCACTGCCTCTTTGGCCCCATCACCATCAAGCACATTTGAGAACCAGGTGGCTTAGCAGGCCTCCCTCAAAACACCCTGATGTTGCAGCTGTGTTTCCTTTCACTGGCAGCCTGCATACCCACTCAGATCACGGGCTGCACAGTAGGTGAGGAACTTGGCTTACTTTCATACAGCTACATATTAACATGAAATTTATTTACATATTCTGACATCATTTGCATCTTGTTTTTTCTTTTCCTTGAAGATGTGGAAGAGTCTGCAGAGCAAAGCATTCTGGAGCACCCACCTTTACCTTCTTCTCCTGGATCACGTGGAGTGTTTTCTACAATTACTAATGCTGTACAGAATACTGTGAGCATTTCTAGTGAAAAAAAAAAAATAAAAGGAAAAGAGTGTATGTTTTTGTCAAAAAGACATAAAAAGGCATCACTAACAAAGACATCACCAAACAAATTAAAATATTACTATTAAAGGGCAATAGTGAGCAAATAAGCAGTTCAAAAGCATGCAAATGCAAGTAGATAAAAAGGTACCACTTTGGTGGGAAAGTAGCAGTGTTCGTGCACTTCAGTTTAGTCATGCTGGCCACATGACCACGGAGACTGTCTGCAGACAAAAGCTAGCTCCCTCGGCTAGGAAACAGAGATGAGTACCGCCCCCTAGAGTCAGACATGACTGGACTTAACATCAAGGGGAAGCCTTTACCTTTACAAAAGATTATCTACCGAAATCATACTGAATATTAAGTATGAGTAACTGTAGCTTGAAAGGAAAAAAGCAACACATACATACACCATTGTATGTGGCACATTTGAGCACATTTCTCTTTCTGCATTTCTATTCTTTGGATTCTGGCCATTGTTGGCTCTCAGCTAATAGCACACATTAGTTGTCCTTCATACCAAATTCAAATTTCCAGTACTACTACTGAAATATTATAATGTGTTTATAATCCTTTTACAGAGCAATTAAGAGCACACATTAAGGCATTCTATTGAAAATACATTTGAAGCTTAAATATAGAGCATTCCTTTGGCAATAGATCACATTGTTTTTAAGCAGAAGTTCTGGAGAAAATTCAGGTTGAATTACTGCAATACTATTGGTGCATTGTTCCTTTTTCAATGGTGTGTTGTTCTTATCCTCCATTTGTGTTTGTGTTATCAATATGAAGAAGACATCTCCTCATTTCCAGGATTCAAATATTTGGGGTGGGGATATTTGAGGAGGAGATTTAATCTAACAGAAAAGTGCACTAGTTGGGAAGTTTTGTTGAGCAGTGTTTAATGTGTCAAGAAGGTCACATGGAAGGCAGCTAACCTTTAACGTTCCATTTTTTATCATTCCTTGAATTAGGCTATTGAGTATCACTCTTTAAAAAGTACACCTTGGTGGTGGTGGTGGTGGTGGTGGTGGAGATTTTTTTCAAAAATCTGTTTGTATCCAATTGTCTAAAATATATTAAATGGAAAAGTGATAACCTGTCAACTTCCTTTATAAGGCTATATGGCACATTTACTAAGGATTAGGAATCATTTATAACTAAAAGGACAGGAGAATTGTTTCAGTACAAAATGAGATCCCATGCAACAGCTTGGTGAGGAAGGCTAACAAAAATTCAGTTTCTGGATGGTCAGCTCCATTTTAATTTCTCAAAAAACTCTTGCATGCTGCAGTGACAATCTGCATTTCTATTAACTTCTCCCTGATGGCAGGGCTGTTGGTGGATGGTAGGATGAGGGATTGTATTCACAGGTCCCTTTCTTAAAATTTCTTAAAATTCTTAAAACTTTCTTAAAGTTGTCAGACGTTTGATTTGGTCTTATATTGCTTAAAGTCCCTACCTACTTCTAGAATTTCCCTAACTAAGGATTAACATATCTATTCCAAATCCCTAAAATTTCTTCCCCCTATCAACATTTTATCTTCAGGGAATCCTTCACATACCAACTTGCCACCACATCTGCTGTAGAATTCCTGAATCTTGCAGAGGGTTCTGGAGATAAAGGAATGTTTCAGGGTATACTCTCACATAGCACTGACCAAGCCTCATGAGGTCCACTCTTTCACGTGAACAGAGTTGAACTGCAGCATGCCCATCTGTTCTCTGTATACTGCAAGAGATGACCAGTCATTGAGGACTAGTTGTCTTCAGAGAAACTTGTCCTCCATTACTGAGCTCTCCTTTAAGAACCAAAGGGAACCCCCAAGCCCTAAAACAGAAATCATCATTTTAATTTGTACTTTTTCACAAAATGTGCCCAAAGCAGTTCATAACACAACAGCAATGCTGAAATAAGACTACTTTTAATTATCTGTGTTGGCACCGTCTTGTATGTGCAGTAGAAGGCTTTTCATTTTAATTTACTTAGCATGTTAAACTGCAATACTATTTCATCTGGTATCCATTTTATTGTGAGAGATGAATAATGAAGTCATAAATCCTGCTGTTTATAAGAGCAGAAAAAACAGGGTTTGGCATTCATGAACTGCCAATTCAGTATTCCTATACAGTTCTAAAAGCAAAATTCCTTAGAAGTGTGTGCTATTCAAAGAGTAAATGTGCTTAGGAGTATTCTTCTCTGTTTTGTGCAGGGTAAGAGTGTCTTAACTGGTGGTCTGGATGCTCTGGAATTCATTGGCAAGAAAACCATGAATGTTCTTGCAGAAAATGATCCTGGATTTAAGAAAACCAAAACACTGATGGAACGAACAGTTTCCTTATCTCAGGTGAAATAAGCAAGTTTGGATCATGCAGTCATAAAAAGTGGTGAAAGCAATTACAGCATAGTCTGTGAAGTTGACAGTGATTATAATTTCATGGGGTTTTTGGAGTTCTGAAGGGTTTCATCAGCATTTAGCTCGGGTTTAGTCATCAGCATAAAATTTTCTGCACTGGAAGTTATGGATATGAATAAAGATTTGTGTGTGGATTACATTTTATGGTGCAATTTTCATACTGAAGATGTAGTGTATATTAGCATCTGTCATGTAGAAACTTACAGTGCTCAGGAGAATTTCCACACCATTTACCACACTAGTGGTTGGTATTCAGAACTGTTGCAGAGGTTCTCTGACTGGGTTTGCACAACATGACAACCCAATATGGATTAGAAACTATGGTAGGTTAGTGTGTTCTGTGAACCCGGATCATTTTTATTGGAGCAGCTTATTTTTGCCTTCTGAGCCACTCTGACAAGTCTGTAGTAAGGATCATTTAACTCATAATGGTTGGACATGTTGTCTGAACCCGGATGACCTAATTTAATGCAGGTCAGTCCCATCAACAAGTGAACCTCTTGGCAATGGGAGCAAAAATACCCTTGCCACACTTGCCACATGGCTTCTGAGGAAGGGCCAGTGCTAACCACCCCCAGAATACCAGAGAAGCTCTTGGGGGCAACTGGCATGGATTTCCTTCCCATCCCAGCATCAGCATGAGCTGCAGTGGTTTTCCCCCTTTTACATATTTTTTCCAAAGATGGCAAAAGGCATAAATATTTCACAGTACCCATTTCTATGGACATTCTTTCCAAGGTGCTGTTGTGGTACCATGGTAGGGCTGTCATATTTTTTATCTCCTCCCCCTATTTTCCTCCCCCCAAATTGTGACTTCTATTTTCACAATTCGTTTTTCTTCCCTGCCAGAGGTTGGATATCTTCATAGCTAAACAGTCTTTAGACATTGCATTGCACCCAACTTTAAGGATTTTCAGCTAGGAAGTTCCTCTTTCTACATTTCTTTTCCAATTTAGCTTACCTTGTATAATTGAGTGTAATAGTATTTTTTATTTGTCATTTTATGACCAAACGATTCTAGCTTTCTGCATTTTCTGTTTTTTAACTGCTTCTTGAGTTTTATATAGTTTAATACTTTTTAAATATTCTTTAATACTTCTTTGTCACCCTCTCAGTCCACAAAATTGATAACATCCTGTAATAAATTTCAAATGCTTCTTTCTTTTTTATGGCTGCCTGTGTCCACAAACCCATGCCATAAATTGATCTATAAAGACATAAACCTATATAATACACATCCTCAGGGCTTATTTTAATTTTTGCTGCATATTTCATTTTTCATCTTCAAAAAACTACTCAAGGACATCTCTGTTCTGACTTCTATTGCACTATTATGACTCTAGTAGTCATTCAACCAAATTCCAGTAAATTTATATCCATTAACCTGCTCCACACATTTTCATTTTGAATTTTTAACTATCTTCTTTGGATTACTTACTTTTCGCCTTTTACTTTGCACTTGGTTTCTTGACATTCATTTTTAGACCAGGTTCTTTGCTCAGTTTGCTTGTTCATAGCAAAAAACATTAATTATTTTTATTACCATGCTTTCACAACTGTGCAGGTGACCACAGGAACAAGCATGGGGGACCTGGGTTTGGTAAAAGGTATGGGGGGTGCCGATAAATGCCCTAGGAAGAGAAGCCCTCCACTCCCCACTCTGTGTGAGCAGATACTTGCTAAGCCTACACTGAGAAGCAAGTGTCTACTTCACAGAGGACAAGATTTGCAAATGCAGTGGACAGACTAACACTAATACTGGAATCAAAACAAAACTGCTTTGCATTTCCATATCTTTTTTAGTCACAACAGGTAGGTTATTGTGTATCAGTCCCTTAACAAAAGGGAGAAAATAGTGATGCGTGGATAGTAAAAATCTGCGAGCCCAAAGAACTCATGGCTAAACAGGAATTTAAACCCAGCTTTTAGGGACAGTAGTCTATCTACCAAGTCCCTTATGTAGATGGAAACATTGCTTGCTTTATTGAAACGTTTATGCTGTGTACCTCATCCTGTCACAATCTTAGAGTTGCCTATAACCCACCAGGAAGCTCTGTAGATGTCAAAGCCATGGCTATGGAAACTACAAAAACTCATGCTTATTCTCACCCTAATGGACAACATATTATTATTACATTGCATTACATTACTGCCCATAGCTGAAGATCTCTGGATAGTTCACAACATTTTAAGTCACCTATCTAGATTTCAAGCAGGTTTGACCTCGCTTAGCTTCCAAGATTAGGTAGGATCAGGCTCTTCATACAGAAGAATATAGAATAACCCTTTTATTTTTCTTGTTGAAAATGGTAATTTTACTTCCACTGCTATTTATACCAGGTGCTATATTTACTTAATTCCCTCCTCCCCAGCAATAATGACTGACAACTAATTATAAAACCTACAGTTGTAAAAGCTACAATTTTAACCCTGCTTAAAATTATTTACTAGGATTGTGTTAATAAAACAATAAACATTTCACTTCTGCTGGTATGATTCAACCCCAATTTTTATTATTATTGGCTAGAGGGGAGTCTGAAAGTGATAAAAACTGTCAAATCTCCTACACAACCAATAAACCAGAAACCATGATCTATATTCCACAGCTGTTGCGAGAAGCTAAAGAGAAAGAGAAGCAGAGACTGGCCCAGCAAGTCACGTTTGAAAGGACAGCACACTATGGCCTGCTTTTTGATGAGTTTCAGGGCCTGTCTCATCTGGAAGCTCTGGAAATTCTGTCTAATGAAAGTGAAGCCAAGGTACATGGGTAAATGGACTGTATAAATCACAACAACAAGAATGCTTTCTTGAACATATTTCTCAGGGATAGCAACCAGTAAGATTGAAACCCTTTCTCTACTATAGCAGGAGCAACAGTGTGTGCTTATTTATTTAGCCATTCGAATTTATATTCTGTCCTAACCTGTAGACAGAGCAGTTCACAACATCTTCAAGTTTTTCCACTCCATTGCACCAATGGAACAGGGGTTGGAGTTGGATTTCTAGCCATGCGCACTTTTGTGTTTGACCCATCCATCACTGGAATGTAGCCTCAGATAAATTCTCCAAAACAGAACTGGCCCTCGGGCCAAAATAATGTTATGTACCCCTACTCTACTCTTTTCCTTTGTTCCTAAGAACCCCTAATCTAAAAGTCCCCATGGACACATTTCGGGATTTCTGAAACTACTGTGGGCATCGCTACAAAATGGATTCTTGAAGGATGTGGCTTATGGAAGCCTGGTTGTTCAGCAGAGATGAAAAGAAGTAATGACACTACAAGGGAGGTAAAATATCAAGGAAAGGGAGAGAAAGAGGCTAGATTCTAGGAGGGTGGCAATTCTTTCCTTGTCTCCTGCTGAACACTTGGTCAGCAGCATGTTCAAGAACTGGAAGGAGGACCCTGTGTCCTAATGTTTAGCAGGTGTTTTATTAGAAATAAATGTTTGAAGGAGTCAAAGAGTCTTGTTGGATGCACACATGGACTCTATATTGAGTACTACTACCCATGCTGCTCAAAGTGTAACGAGCAATTTCTCTCTTAAGCTATACAAGTGCATTGGAGGTACCAGAGTATGCTTCTTAGTGCCACCTTGTATCCCTGTATTGAACACGATGTTGGAAGAGAAACTGTGTGCCAAGTGCAATGTTCTTAAGACCAAACTGCAACCTTTGTATTAATGTAAAAGTGGCATCATTTACATCAATCCAAAAATTATATGGCAACTATTATGGGAGAGTAATGGAATGGAAGGGTGGCCTCTAGGCTATCTTTTTATAGGAGTTTTTTATTATTATAATGACCTACTATTTTTGTCACATGTAGATACTGGATGACTTTGCTCTTTTCTCACAAGGTTTTATATGATCAAGTCACTTTTATTTCTGTCATCCTTTTATTGACTCAGTGGGAAAAAGCCATTTAGAATCCTCTGTAGTGGGATTTATATACTTGCAATGCAATCATGTGCTTCTCTGCACAGAAGACCATTTACTTCAATTTATTTCAATGGGACTTACTCCAAGGTAATTGGTATAGGATTGCAAGCTAAGCTTACTATATTATACCCACGTATTTTGAAGTTAGTCCCATTGCATTGAAGGAACTTAAGTCTGAATGTGTGTGTTTGTGTGTGTGATTCCACTGTAACCCAATGCATACTTTATTGGGTGTAAGCCCCACAGAATTCTTTGGGGCTTATTTCCAAGCAAACATGCATAGATTTGCCTGCAAGTAGTATTTCTAAGTTCATGACACAATGTGAAAGTGCCTTGCTTTTTTCTGTCAGGACTTTTAAATCAAAATGATTTTGTCCTTCCATAACACAGTTATTAGAGCTTGTATTTATTAGATGTGGTAGACCTTAATTTGTGTGTGCATTTGCCTCTTATACTAATGGAAATACTAAATATAGTACACTTCAGTAAAACGGAAAGTCCATTGGAAAAATAATTGAGCAAACCTTTTTAGATTATTCCTGTTGAAAATAATAGTATAGTTTAAATGCCCAGGACCAAGGCCATATACTGAGTTCCAACCTTTCATTGGAGAATCTGTGCTCTGATTTGCATCATCCCTACCTTGCAGCTGTCACAGAAAAAACTTGCACTGCTGTCCCTCCATGGTTTGTTTATTTTATTTATTTATAAAGTTTTTTGTATACTATTCACTCAGCCATATTGGCTGTCATGGTATCCACCTTAGAAAATTGACCTTAGAGAAGAAGTAAAGGAGACATTTCAGGAGTGGGGAGAGAAGGAAACTGAGCCCCTTTCCCTCTCAACTGCAAAGCACCTCAGCCAGATGACCAAAAGTGGGGTGAGGGGCTGAAGGTCACCTGCTGCTCCTCCCTATCTTCATTGATGCTGAGTCTGAGGGCTCCTTTAAGCTAAGATACACTGGTATTTTTGATCCTGCTCCTTTTGGTTTGTCCCCACCTCCTGTACCCTTCAACCCCACCTACCGCTTGTGTGCAGTCCTCAAGAGCTTCCTCAATATGTAATCGAGGCCGCAGACTCAAATAGGTTCTGCACGCCTGCTATACACACTTACCTGGGAATGAACAACATTGAACTTAGTGGGACTTACTTTTGAGTGAACACATGTAGGATCACACTAGGCATCAATCCTGTGCTGTTGCCTGCAACTCCCGCTGAGATTACGGTTTTCATGCATGTAATGCTACAATTGGTGGGATGCTGGCCTTGAAGGTAGTCCCATGGTGTTGCATTAATGAAGTAGTCTGGGTTGGGGTTGGTATGAGACAGGCACTGTTGGGTGGGCATCATTGCTCAGCACAAAAATAGTCAGACAGGCAGAACTGGAGAGAGCAGTTCATCTCTGCAGCATTGTAAAATCTTTTCAGCCAGTGCAGATCCAGAGATGCTTTCAGATGCTTCTGAAGGAATGCACTGCAGTATAATACTACTGACTCATGCAAGTGTGACCTGGGACTTTTCGGGAAGGGAGACCACCGGTCAGCTGTGTCTTTCCTTCTCTGAGCTCCTTCAAGGAACAGAAGAGTAAAATAAGAAATTAATGCAATAGTTGTTGCTACAAACCGCTGTATCCTACTGCGATGTTAAAGTTTGTATATAGAATTGCAAACTCTGTCTGTCTGTCTGTCTGTCTGTCTGTCTTTCTTAAATGTGTATAAAAGCTGCCCATTAGCACCATGCTGTCTGGGTGGCCATTACAAGAAAGGTGTCAGTAATAACATTAAATAAAATAATACCATTAAATATTATAATTAATAAACAAGATAAAACACTATATTTAATCGGACAAAATATTAATTGATAAAATTAAGAAATTAAAACTAGTGCTATCAATATAGAGATGGTCTAAGTAGTGCCATAGGTGTGTCAAAAAAGAAAAGTAAGAAAACTCAGAAAAGTAGGTGCTCAAAGAAAAAGAAAACTCAGAAAAGTAGGTGCCTGACAAATGCCCAATGGTAGGATGTTCCACAACTGGGGTGCCACCACGGAGAAGGTCCTCCTCCTTCTTGCAACCTCCCCCTTAACCTCCCTAAGGAGAGCAACCTGTAGGAAGGCCTGCATTGATGAACTTAAATGACAAGCTAAGACACTCCCTATGATAAATTGACAGTTTAAACAGTAAGAAAACACTTGGCCCGTTTTTCTCACACAAGATGCATTGGCGCTTCATTGAAATACTCTGTCCCAGTTGCATATATTATTGGTTAGTGATCATTCTTTTCTGTTTTAGATACAGTTATATTTGGCATCACTTGAAGGAGAGGAATTGGAAACAGCAAAACAAGCACTAATTGCTATTAAGACAGTTTTCCTTCTTGAAGAATCAGACAGTGAAGACAACGAAGACAACGTAGCAAAGAAAGGTAGTTGCAGAATTACTGATATAGCACAAGTGTGATAGAAAAAAATCTACATGTTTAATCTAAAACAACTGTTACTTACCAGTGATTTCATCACTGTAGTCTTGTGCCCAGAGACCTTCCCATTGAAGGTAAAGGTAAAGGTAAAGGTTTCCCCTTGACATTAAGTCCAGTCATGCCTGACTCTAGGGGCAGTGCTCATCTCCATTTCCTAGCTGAAGGAGCCAGCGTTTGTCCACAGACAGTCTCTGTGGTCATGTGGCCGGCATGACTAAACACCAAAGTGCACGGAACGCTGTTACCTGCCCACTGCAGTGGTACCTTTTTATCTACTTGCATTTGCATGCTTTCGAACTGCAAGGTTGGCAGGAGCTGGGGCGGAGCAACGGGAACTCACCCCGTTGTGCAGATTCGAACTGGCAACCTTTTGATCAACCAGCCCAGCAGCACAGCAGTTTAAACCACTGTGCCACCTGAAGTCCCCCCATTGAAGATACTGCTGTTCAAATTAATAGAAACCATGAAAATGTTGAATGTGACTTTAGCATAATGTGCTAAATATCAGAGGAACACACCTATGGTAAGTTGAAAAACAATTGAAATCACGAGATTGACTGTGGCACTTAAACAGGCCTGGTGAGCACATTTTGAAAGTTGAGAATTTGTCCTGGTTACAAACATAAGATGACTGCTGTAGTCATAAAAGACAAGTAAGCTTCCCAGAGGAATCATGGGAAATTAATGGAATCAGCTGGAATCAATGGTGGCAACAGGGAAGAGGCTTCCCTCTTCAGAGCAATTCCTGCTGTCAGTGTTTATGCACATGTGTGTGTATGTGTGAGAGAGAGAGGGAGGGAGGGAGAGGTGGGTAGAATATCTTGATGCACACCAAGTAAGGTGTCTGGAGGCATATTAGTATCTGCAGGAATCACATTACCTATTCCTGAACTAGAATTAGAGATCACAAAACTAGTTTTATAGCTCAGATTAGTGAAGGCCAGTCAGTGCAACATAGGCCACATCCAGTCCCATTCTGATATTGGGTAATCTCCTCCCCACATGTCAGTGCCTCAGGTATGTCCCTGTGGTTATTTTTGCTTTGGCCTTGAAAATGCTTCAAGTGGCCCATACTATGTATTGAAGAATAGCTAAGGACATAGAGTATTGTGATAAACAAGCTCACTTATTTCCTAAGATTTAAGAGCAGGGGATAGAGCAAATGTTTTAATTTATAATTAGAATTCATGTTTTTTTTCTCTTGCCTTTTGCAGCAGATATAGGAGATGAGTTTGTTACCGTGCTTACAGAACTTCTCTTTGAACTACACGTTGCTGCTACTCCTGATAAACTTAATAAGGTAAGTGACTTTGCTTACTAGCTGATCTAAGATACCACCTTTTATTCCTAGTTCTCTGAACAAGTTTAGTGCTGTAGCTGAGGGCATATCAATTGAAAAGGCGCATCAGGCAGCAGAAAGCAGTGGTATAATTGCAGCTTTGGTAAAATTGTAGCAATAGCTAGAAAGAACTGTGGTGAGGAATATACACCAAACCTTCCTGGCCAACACTTAGGGAGCTACCTGAGCACCAGTAAATATTTTCATTTATTGTTTATATCCAAAAAGAGCAGATTTCCTGGAATAATAGATGGTGTTAGCTGTGCTTTTCATGGGAAGTATCTTATGTTACTTGACAGGTACAGAATTGGCCAGTAGTGGAATGAAAAACAATATTTTCAAAATCATCCAGAAATTAGCAACAACACTAATTTGCTGCATAGGGCAATCAATGGAGCTCACAAAAAGGACCTCCTTCACTGACTGGCTCCATTCTGGAAATGAGTGTTGCTACAAGATTCTGAAGTTATTTTTGGATCTCCTCATTCCTGCAGCATTTGGCTCTGCATTCAGGAAAGAACCAGAAGTTGTACAAGGTTCTGCTTCAAATCTGTAATATCTGAGGAATATTAGTTATATTATGACCTCAGCTGCTGATTTTTGAGGTCCAGAATGACTTTGTCTAGTAAACCCAAACTCTGTATGCACATTATGTGAGTCATAACTATTGGGGAAACTGAGCAAGAACAGAAGTGCATGTGGGAAGCGGAGGACATGCAAAACGGGAGCGAAGTAGAAAGAAAATACCATTGCACAAGCACTTAGCAGAAGTGTTTATGCAGTACTATGGCAGGAAGGACCCATAGCACGTTTCATGCTTACATGAGGCTTCTGCTTTCAGTGAAGATAACAGGTAGCCTCTTTATGCAGGATTCCAGGTGTGCAAGAACATGCCATGTCAATGTTTCCATTACCTCTTGTGATGTTGCTTTTTGCGGTGTGTGTTTTGAAGGCTAGGAAGAAAGCTTATGATTGCTTGGAAGAAGCTAGTCTCCCCACATCTATAGAAAAAGACAGGAGCCCAGCAGAGAAAGTTAAAGAAGATGAAGAAAAACAAGAAGTTAAAGAAGATGAAGAAAAACCTCAAACAGGAGAATCTGAAAACAGAGAAGGGAAAAATAAAACCATAGAGGTGAGGGACATTCAGATTTCTATTTGACTACTTTTTTCCAGACAACAGAAACTAGCCACCAGCATTCTTCTTCCAAACACACCTTTGCATTTCAGTGACCAAGGGGTGTGTCTTTGGGGTGAGTCTGTCTTCACAAAGACTTCCTCCCTCCTTTTCAGCCCTTGTCTGCCTTCACCAATTATTGTATCCTGGAAGATGATAGAAAATGGTTTTTAGTAATATGCAGACTTTGTTTGCCATTGCTTGAAATTTCTTTCCTATGAAGCACAGCTTTATATGTGTAGACTGAAAAAAGTCCCAGCATTCTGTAGCCAGCCATGTTTTTCTGTCTAACATGCAGGGCGTTGCACTCTTAGGTAGGCACTTTGTATCTAAGGCATGTATACTTGAAGATAAAACTTTTCTGTGCTTGTGACTAATATACTGTCATCTAAATATGACCCCAGAGCTTAATGTTTTGTAGGCTGGCTTCAGAGCATAATCAGTACCAACCAATAACATTTCCTCCAGTTCCCTGTGGGGTGAAATTTCCTACAGGGAATTGGGGAAGAGGGAAAATGGAAAAAAAGGGACTTGAGTGAGGGGGGAAGAAAGAGGGACCAGCGAAGAGAAAATAAAAGGGAGCCAAAGGAAGGGAGAGAAAGAGAAGAGAGAGACGCCAAATTCAGTGTTCTAGAGAACATAGAAATTCAGTGTTCTGTGTGCACACACACACAGAAAAGGGCGGAGTGCTCCAAACTCCCCTCTGCGACCCTTTCTGGTAATTTTGTAATTGTTATGTTACAGCAGCACATCATTTCAGGGTGCATAACTGATTATATTTTCTGGACAATGTACTACTTTTCTTGGAATTCAGTGCATCAGTGTTAATTCATAGAATTCTTGCACACAATCTTTGGAACTTCTTTCCAGGAAATCTACCTGCTGTCTATTGAAAGCCTTGCTGAGGTAACAGCCCGTTGCATTGAGCAGCTCCACAAATTAGCAGAATTAATTCTTCACGGACAAGAAGTTGAAAAGCCTGCCTTGGATCAAGCAAAAGTTCTAACAAAGTAAATACTTTTTTTTCTTATTCTTATCATTTCCATGTATAAATACTTAAAGATTCCATGGGCAGTTTAGTAATAGAAAGTAATTTGGGAATTTGCAACTCTGCCAAGAAGAACTGTACTGTTCTATCTTTTTATAATGCCACCAGAATGACTTTGCAGAATAGAGGACGTTGATGTAGATACTGGCATATCTCCTACTAAGTACTTTTATGCTGGTGCATCACATGTTTGAATCATATACCCAAGTCTTATACTGCAATATATAGCTATACTACAAACATTGGTTCTGTGTCTCAAAGAAACCTAGGAATTGTGATTTATGTCCAAAAATTATGTTAGGGACACAGCCTTCTTCACAGAGCTGTATTTTCCAGGATTACTGGAAAAGCCTGTTGAAACATTTTAGGTCTGAAATATGAATATACCCCAAAAATTAAACGTATCCTCCTCTTACACAAACTACCAACCAATGAACTCCTTGCTTGGTATTGTCTTCACTGACTACCAGTGGAGTCAGTGAAGGGTTCATACAGGGGTCTTTCCCAGACCTACCTGGAGAAGTCAGAAAATGCTTTATGCAAAGCTGATGTTCTGCCACAACAGTATTTCTCCTACTGTCAGAATGGTGTTTCCTTAATGTAGTTTCTGTAGCATCTTAGTACGTACGCTTGTGATTTGTTTGTATACCCTTCAGAGTGCAATATCCTTATGAAGATATAACATTTTATATGCAGTGGTTAGAATGGTATCAGTTAATTGCTATCCATCTGTTTTTTAGTGATATGTACTACTCATAGCCAAGAGTATGCTAGAAAAGGTATTAGTAAAATTCCTGTTTTTTTAATAGTTTAACAAGTACGATGTGTAATGAAGTCTCTTCCCTATCAAAGCAATTTTCTGCTGTTTTAACTTCAGTTGGGGTAAGTTGTTGTTTAATTTTGTTAATGCATTTTTAACATCAATGTATCATTCTTGGGAATTGTTCTTCATGAGGCTGCATCTTTTGGTTTTTAATTGATTCCTAGGTGCAACAGAATGTTCCCTTTCCTACTTTTCTGCTACCTGACCACGAGGTGGCACTGTGGTATAAAGCAATAAATAACATAAATACTCAAGTAGAAATAGTATTTTCTTTTGCTTTCCTTAAATATACCACATTTCCCTGCTGTAAAAGAAACCTCACCAAAGTGCTTTTTAAAACCAGAAGGGAAACTGAATGGTCATGACATTGACTAAAGAAATCCATAAACAACCATGAGTAAAGAATTACAAGCATAAAATAAATGCCTCAAGCAGACAAGCTCCTAGTTAAAAAAATGGTAAACAGAGATATTATTCAAAATCCTATTTCCAGATGAAGAACCAAGCATCCAACATATTTCACTACAGAACAAAAACTATAGCAGTGGCCAGGATCTATTTCAACAGCTGTAGCCATGACCTTTATCTTGTTTGTGTGCACAGAGCAGCAGATAAAAGTTTTAGAATTCCATTATCTTCACTAGTTGAGAATACTTATTTCATCCTAGGTGCCTGAGAACAGCCATATTTTGCAATCATCTGCTGCATTTCAAACCAGTATCCCCTTATTCTTGACTCTCAGGACTGTACAGAGATGCTGTTGCTATTACCATTAATCATCAGTGGACTCTTACATTTGAAATAGCTAAACTGGTTAAATGCAGTGCTAAAATCACTGCATATAGGTTAAGTGAAAACTTAAGCATACAAGTCTGTCCCCCATGAAACAGATTCATATAATGGAATTCTCCTATTTTATTTCTTTTGGCACAGTAAAGGCACAAGAAGGTGATTTTAGCGTGACAGCTTTCCCTTCTTCTGAGAGCTGATATTTACCATGTCAGAGCCAAATACAGAGGCTTTCTGGATCTTCTTTCTGACAGAAAGGACCAAAGCAAACTTCCTGCAGCTGCATTTTTTTTCTAGCCAGTGGTCTCCCACTTGATGTTTTCCCTTCCGCTAACCCTCAGTCCTCTGGACAAGGGATGGATTTAGGCAGGCATGGAGTGTAGTGGGAGGATGTGACTGGGAATAGGTGTTCTGAGCCCTGGAAGAAGAACCTGCTCCTGCTACACGCACTGCTGTTCAGCCTTTGAAGACATCCTAGTCACTGCAGAGTGCCCAAGGATCACTAATGGAATAGGGGAAATCCAGTGGAACCCCTTAGGCTCTGAAAAGATGGAGGCAGAAGAGTTTTGCTACAGACCCATGCTGGCATGATTCATCTTAGTCAGGAATCTCTAGTGGGGTGGCCAGAGTCATCACTGCAGCTGCAAGACAAGGCTGAAGCATCCAACAGTCTGCATTTCTGCCCTGCAAGTGAATTCAAGCCAATGAGGCACTTTCTGCCACAATATGTGGACAAACCTTAGCCTGCCCTCTGCCCTTTCAGCTGAATTTGAGCAGGGAGCTTTACCTTGCCTCATTGCAAATACATGGAAGATGGAGAGAGGAAGAAAGGAGGAACAAGAAAGAGAGAAGAGGGGAGGGAGCAAGGGAAGACATAGAGAAGGGAGGGAAAAAGAGAGACCAAGGAGAAAGAATAAATAAAAGAGGAGCCAAAGGAAGAAAGGGTCCAAAGAGAGAAAAAAGCCCAAGAGTGAGAGAGAAACCAGAGTAATACGCATCCAGGTTGTACATTCTTGTGCACACACATAAGGGGGTGTGATTAGGCCCTTACCCCTGCAGTCAGTTGCATAGCAGTCAATCTCTGGTGGTTCCTGGGCACTTTTACAAAATGCCAAAACTGCCCCTGGGTCCAAAAAAGTTGGAGACCCTGAGGTAAATGGTGTTGCAGCTAGAGGTACTTCCAGCCAGGAGAAACCAAGGCGGTAATGGCAAAGCAGCCTGTAGCTTCCTTCCCTGCATTTCCTGTTCTCAGAATGCTTTCCTTCCCAAATCAGGAGAACCAGGAGTCTCATGCAAGCGTGTTGTTTACTTCCTGGTGAGGGCAATTATGATGTTAGTCCTGCCTTTCTGACTGTTGCTTCTTACCCTTCTGCCCTTTTTCTTGCCTTACTTATGGAGCTGAACAAATGGCTCATAATGTGTTGAACCTATTTGATAGGTTGGGCATTACAAGGCATAAATAGCAAGTCAGTGGCCATTTTTACCCTACTTTGGAATTTGTAAGGATGAAGGATGATTTGAAATGCAAACATAATACTCTAACAATATGAGAGTGTACTCAAACTATATCTTCATGAATCAAAACTAGATGAGCTAAAATGCTCCTATGATTATTGTACCATGGCAAAGACAGATTATTTAGGACTTATTTAACTTCCACGATAATTTACAGGATGATGCTAAGTAAACAGGTGAGGCCAGGGTTGAGAAAAGGAAAAGTTCAGCTAAAACAGAAAGCAGGGAAATGTAATTAGCTGAAACTTGAACTAACCAACACTAGCTCAAGTATGAATTTGTGGTGTCAACAAAATCAGGATTAAGCCAGGGCTTCAATTGAATTTCATGCATGGGATATCCCCAGAAACCATGTGATGTGAAGCAGTAAAAATGATCAAAAGGTTAATTTCAATGTAAAAGTTTCAATGTGCTTAATTCCTGTTTGATGATGAAATCTTAAAATGGCTCTTGTGTGCCCATTCCATCTCCCTTGAATCTGTAGGCAACTCTTCAGAGTTCTCTATAAAAGAGCATAATTTAATCATATTGCTTTCACTTTGAATAATTTATGCTGCTGGCAACTTACAGGAATTTGTCTATTTTTGCATTTTCTTAGCATGTCTTATCATATTTCTCTGAGGCAATCTCGATAAATATTTATATCAAGCAAAAAAAAAATCAGCATGAAATATTAATCTGATCCAGCTTTAGAACTAGGCATTTTACATGACTCTTAGTTTTGACCTTGATGCCTTTGCATTTTGGCTTTGCTCAATTCAACTACTTAGAATTTAAAAGGGATTCAGTTTGGACTTGCTATATGACTCCATAGCAGACAAGTCCACATAGCTGAGCTATGAAGGTGAATGTTGGAAGGGAATGGCAGAAGCTTTAGTTGAACCTTGTGCACTTCATTTCAATGAGCCTTCAGAAGCGAATTTTTTTGTGATCTAGCTATGCAAATAGAGTGAAAAAGTCTAGTAACCCACTTTTAACAAATGCACATATATTATGTATTTGGATATCAGTACCTTAATGCAAAATGTGAAGCAAATGGAGAGCATTCAATGCTATTCAAAGCAATGGTCTTTCTGTATACGTAATTAGGTATGTGGCTGAGGCCAAATTTGCTTTTTTTAAATTAAAGATGTCGCTGGCCCTAATGAATGAATAGCTACAAGAGGATCATGTGAACCAGACACTTGGTTGATTTAGATCAGATTAGGTGCCCCAGATTAATAGCATTTCCACATAACTGCTAAGCAATTCAGACATTGAATAACTGTATAGTAACTCAGTTGCTATAAGTTAGAAGTTATTGCAAAACAGCATATATCTTTCATCCTTATTGCTATAGAATCCTGTTTGCAGTAAGCATGGATTATATTGATCAATATTATTTAATAGGCAATCATTTCTTCACATTTCAATAGTTTATGCTGAAGTAAACAAGGAAATTGATTTTTTTTAAAACTGTCTTTGAAGCAATTCGGTTTTTATTGTCTCATGGCTGTCTTACTAACTTTCTCATTATAATTCCTCATCTTCAGGAATGATGATGGTAATATTTACAATGCACATGATGCTTATAGAGTTATGATAGAAAGGTACATTCTTGTCACAGATAGAGATGTGAAATTTCTAGAAATGTTGAAGCCATGGGGGGGTGACTTTTTTGTGGGGGGGATCTGAAAATAAAATTTTTAGCACTTTTTACAAATTCAAAAGTCATGTTGCCTGGTGCTTTTGAGCTGTTATGGACTTCCGCCCCCATTATCCTCATGCAGCATAGCCACTGGTCAGGAATTCTGGGAGTTGTAGGTCAAACTTCTCTAGGGCACCAAGTTGGGGAAGACTACTTTGGAAACATACACACACACACACACACACACTTCTATTACATATAAACACTTGTTTGATAATGAGATTCTTAAAATTAAAACTATTAGAAAAGAAACTCACAAGAAATATGTATTTATTGTCTGAATAAACTATACTTTTAAATTTATTGTACCAAACACAATACTTTTATGAGCGAGCAAGCCATATATAATATATTTAGGTTCCTGTTTTATGTCTAAGTAGAGGGAACTTCAGCAAGGATTTGCTGAAACATCTGAATCATCCTAGAAGCCAGAGAGTAACAGGAAGAACTGAAGAATGATAAGTAATTTCTATATGTGAGGAAATTCAGGGAAATTGTTAAACGCATCCATAATGTGGGTGGAGTATAAGGAAATAAGGTCTGATGGAAAATCTTTTGAGACTTTTTTTAGCTAGGAAAGACTTGACTTACTTATTAGGAATTGTGAGTAACTGTACTTAATTTAAGGACCTTTAAGTAGTCACAGCTCATTAAATATCATGAGGGGTGACATTTTATTCTCATTTGTAAACAATTTCCATTAATAAATATCTTACTTTTTGTTCATTTTGAAAGGTTGTCTGGTGGTGCCATCAGTCCCATGCCTACCCCATCAGAACCAAGCTAATGAGTTTATTTTTGACAAAAGGTTTATTGTAGCAGTAGCAGGTCGAAGTTTTTTAGTTGAAGCAGCATTGCCTAGTGGTGAGGTTTAATTGGGAACTTTATTAAAAACTGTAGTATTGAGTTCCATAGACCCAAGTCTCAAAGTTATCTTTAAAATGCCCTTTTTCTTCCATATGGTAACTCTAAGCACATGCCAACTATGAGATGAATCATCCTAACAGTGTAGTCCTGTGGCCTCTAGACACAGTCTGGGTGGCCAAAGGATTTTTAGCAGCCCACTTGCAACATTAGAATATGCTGCAAGGTGAAAGCTGGGACTCCATACTCAGGGAATCCATGTCCAACACTCCTGCAGCCAGCGGAGAAAGAACCCACTGGCAACCTCAGAGGTGGGACTTTGAGGGCAAGGACGGGAGGAGAAAGGTACTATCATGATACAAAGTGTATGGCAGAATCAATGAAAGCGGACTTAGGGAACCTGTGGCTGTTCAAATATTGTTGAACTCCTGCTCCTATCATCCTGGCCATTATATCTAAGGGCACAACCCTTTCTGGTTCCACCCATTAGACCGAAGTCTCTGATCCTGGAGGTGTCTGAGTAGCCAGACCCCACTTGACTGGTTATCTGCATGTCAGGAGGAACAATGGAAACAAGTTTTGCCTTTCTGTTCTCCTTGCTTTACATTTCCCTCTAGGGGGCCTCTGAGACTGGAAAGGTTTTGCATATCCTAACTTTTTCCTCCCCAACCACTGGAATGTCTCTGCTTTGACTTCTACAAATTTCTCCGAGGCTGCTCTCTCAGGACTATGGTGCATTCCACAGCCACTGTGAAGGGCAAGGCGGAAGGATCTTGGAGCCCTTCTCTCAGAATTGTACAGGTGTCTATGACTTTGGGAGAGGATACCAGATTGCACCCTAACTTGTGTCTAAGTCCAGCTGAAATCAATGAATTTCAGCTGGAGTTAAGTTGCTCTGAATCCTTTGCTGTCTTCAAGGCATCACTAGCATATTCTTACTCCCTTTAAGGAAGTGGTCTTCAGCGTTAATGAAAATTACTTTTTATATTTGGTTTTGCTCATCTGTGTGCTTTATTGATACAATACAATATCAGTATTCCAGAACTAGGATATTACTAAAGCAAAGAAATAATCAGATTAGCTTTTCTCAGTGTTGCCCTAGCATTAAAACTTGTCCATGTTTTCATTTGGGCAGAGTGACAAAAAAGCCGAAGTTCTCAACCCAATGGTCAATGGTGTGCTATTAGAGGTAAGTTTACAGCCCCTTTACATTAGGAACCACTTGGCTATTATTGCCAAATGAAGGTATGTGAGCATTTATTTCCCCCATGAAAACCAATATAGTGCAACAGATGTAACTGTAATTATACACCATTTCATATGCAACCTCATTTCATGTCTTAATTTGTTTTTTGCAAGAGATTAGCAATAGCAGTCTAGCTATATTTTGTAAGGTTTTTTAGTAACATTTTTAAGGAGGAAGTGAAAAGCCTCACCTTACCTTATGTTATTGACTTGGCCAAATGACTTTCAGTTACTCTTTCTTGCTTGTCACACAATGTCTAGGAACAGACCCCAATAATGTTCCCAATAAGCAAAGATAGTTTTTCCTTTATCTGAACAATTATCTTAAGCCTTTTAACTTAGAAATGCTAACTATACTTGCTGTCCTTTCATGGTTGTGGACATCCTGGTAATTTCAATTGAGTTTTCGTGTTGGAAAAGCGTGCAGTAGAGTTTAAGTCTCGCTCAGATTAGTCTCAGTACTCCTCTTCCTGTGATATGGGCAAAGTTATATTGACTTACCTTGTAGAATTGTGCTAAGAATTACAAGAAGATAATAAGTGCTTTGAGCACCTGAAAGCAATATACAAATACTAAGCTAATATCAGGGTTATATGAGCTTACCAAGCCGTGAAATTTGATAGTCTTCATGAACATAGTATTGATTATTCAGTCTATTGCAGTAAACCTCAGTGTTTCTTTCAGCAAGCATAAAATATATTGGTTTCACAAACACACGCACATGCATGTTGAAACATCTGAGCACATATGTCCAGCACTCTTGTACTAATCTGATTGCCTAGTCACATGTGCATGTTTGAAAAACATCAGCAAATGCTGCATTTCTTGAAGTGATTCCAGTCTTTGGTGTTGTCCCTCATTCAGAAGCAGGTTCCAGTGATTTCAAGATATGTGGGACTGAAGAGTCAATGATGTATGCTACATGCTACTTTATTAACACATTTTCTTTGTTCATCAGGGCTGTAACAGCACCACTTACATCCAAGATGCTTTCCAGTTATTGCTTCCAGTTCTCCAGGTCTCCCATATCCAGACAACTTGTTTGAAAGTACAGCAGTGACCACCTTGCATGAGCCTATTCTCTTGGTTGCGTGCGAAATTCAAAAATATGTCCAATGCCAATAGGCTATCAAAGAGTCTTTTAAGGGACACTAAATGCAATTTTGCACATACGATACTGAATAACACTTTTCTATTTAGTTAACTATTTAAACACATTATTCTATTATAGGGGGAGGATTCATAATTCTTGCATCATATGGTAAAACATGTCTAGGTCAGTTTCATTGATTGACATTGGTTTTGGCCATTGTTGTACTAAATAACATGCATCCCATTCTGAAACATTTGCCTATATGTCTACATTGCCAAAGTGAAATCCATTGCAGTAAAAGCAGTCTGGAACATTTAATTATGATTTGGTACTCTCCAAAGTGAGGATTTTCTTGTCACTCCAAGTCTGAGGAATGGGCAGCCAGTAAAGCCAGACCATCAAAAAAATGGACCTCTTTGTGACTGAAGTGCCAGATCCTGTCTAAACTTGGAAGCTAAGCAGAGTCAGCCCTGGTTAGAATCTGGATGGGTGACTTGAGTGTATGATTATTGTTGGAAACTGCCCAGAGAGCTTTGGCTATGGGCAGTATAGAAATGTGGTGGTGGTGGTGAAGGAAGGAAAGGAGATTGGATCATATCCTTATCAGGAGATTGGATCATATCCTTATCATATCCGAGTGGCACAGTCCACCTAGCCCTAGCTTGCTTCAGGTTTTTGCTGTGGGAAACATGGGTGCAACTCCCATGTTTGCTGCCTGAAATGTGATGTTAGCGTCATGTTCCTTGCCAATGAGTATCTTGCCAAACCAATACATGATTTAGGGTAGAAATGCTATTTTCAGTTTAGGGAAAAATTACTTGCAAGCATCATATACTACTTTGCCTGCCATTAATCTCTTTGAATAATGAGCTGTTGGTTTGTTAAAATGCTGTACGTGAAAACACTACAAGCAGGATTTTGCAAAACATCCATTATATTAGGCATATTCCAGGAAATAATCCCCTTTGGTTTTTAGAAGCTCATCTAGGTAGAATGCACAGAGTTAATCCTGTGAGAGAACGACTAGAAGGAATGATGAAAATGGATTGCCTTAACAGAGGTGATCTTTTAACTAAAGGTTGTGCAGGAATATGTTGTAAGCCTTGGGGGATATTTTAAAGAGATGGTAGGAGAATCATTTAAAACAGTAGATTGCTTATTTGAAGCAGCCCTTAGCTGCTGGTTTTGCCAGAAAGCTTAAATTATGCATGTAGTGGGGTAAAGCTTTGTCCTTCAGGAAATGAGTAAGAAAGAAGCTACTAAGTGAAACATGGAGCAAACTGTTCCCATTTGATGCCTGCTTTCATATCACCCTTTGTGAAGCTATATGTGCTGGCAGTGTTTATCTAATGAAAATCAACTAGCTAATTTAAAAGTTTTGTCAGTCTATAGTTGTCTGAAAAATAAAATTCCTGAAATCCACCAATGCAAAACTAAATTATTTAGGTTGCATTCCCGTATAAACTGTTATATAGAACAGGACTCTTTGGGACTTACTTCTGGGCCGTTCTGCAAAGAATTGTGCTGTAAATCATAAACCATTGAATTAGCACTGGTTTTGTCAGACTTCAGCATACCTTCTTCAGTTTCTGTAATGTTCACTTTTAGAACGATGTATCGGAGATCAGAGGTGCCCAAAGACAAAGAGCCAAAGAAATGTCTGGTAGGATCATATGTTCCTTCCACATCCCTCCTTTCATACATGAATTTCATCTGCAAGCCCATCATTTACCACCCAGCTCAGCATTATGTGTGACCATTGCCAATCCCAATTGAATTAACTCACAGGTGCCTCCTAAATTGAGTATAAGCATTAATTGTAATCAAGAATCTCAAATGGACTTTAGAAGCACCTTTGGGTTAGTTTAACTTGTGTTGGTGACAGTTCCATAAAACAGTGAATCCAGGTAGAAGAGATGGTAGGAAGGTGCATGTAGTCCTATAGCAAACTTGGGAAGATAGGAAGTATCCTATACACTGGCCAAGCTGATGTCTATGTTACAGGGGTTCCTTATCCATTACAGCTTTTATTTTGAGCTTTGTGGAAACTATAGATAAGGAAGGAGCCCCACTGACAGGAGTCACCAGCTTCCCAGGCCTACACCAGGTCAGATCATTGGCTCATTTAGCTCAGTATTGTTGACACTAAATGGCAGCTGATCTCCAGCATTTCAGGACTGAATTTTTCCAGCACAGCCTGGAGATTCTGGGAATTCAGCTTGGGACTTGGTGCATATAAAGCATGGGCTCTGTCACACTGTCACATCCTAAGGCTTAACCCCTATTTTTTTTAATGTATGGACTAGACCAAAGCTATCATATGGATAATATGCATATAATTTTGTATGCAGAACATTTTAAAATGGATTTTAAAAATTCCATTTATCTACATAGTTGTGAATTCTGTCCATAGTTTGTGGGAATAATATTTCTTCTCTCTCACATATGCATAGTTTATTCTTTGTAATAATGTAGTTTTTGTAATGATTTGTAGCTTCTGCTAACTCATGAATACTGAAGGACGTGCTCCAGTAAGATAATGCTGAAATACAAGACTTGCTTATTTTTCATGTGTTCTTAAGTTTTCATCCTAAAAAATAGCATTTTTTACTTTCTTTTGTACTAACATTTTATTTTATATCTCACTCTTGCTATTTAGAAGATTCAGAACTGCCTACACCATGTTAGAATATCTTCCATTAGACACTTCCCCAGTGGAACCCCCTTTAAAATTAATGGGTGCAAGGAAGTGCTCTTGCACAACTTCCATTCATTTTTATGAAGATGCTGCCAGGGAGTATCCCAGGAAATTACAGCCTCCTAGAGGTTGACAAAGGACTAAGTTTGCATAATCCAACTAAGCTACCATGGAAATTGTACCTGCGACAATTCACACCTTAAATATGGCACTGTGCCCATGATGATTTATCTAAATTGTGGTTCATGCTGGGCATGATTTGCATAATCCCCACCCAGATGAAGCTTGTTGTGTCATACCATCCCTGCTGTCATGATGTGTTGGAGGGGGAAACAACCTTTCAGTAAAACACGGGTTGTTGTACATTTGTTGTCCTTCAACAAACCATGCTCCCCTAGTTCACATGCCATATTGTTAGTTACTTTCTTTGTGCTAATTAGTCCAGTATAGGGGGCCAGGAAGTACTGAAGTAATAAATGATTGCAGCTCAACTGAGCCACATGTTAGATGTGAATGAGTTGCACAACAGAAAACCATTTATAGACCTACTTTCTGTCTAAATTTGCATAGGATTGCACCTTTACTTGAGTACATTTGAAGAGAAAAATTCTGGAGTAAGTAAATGATGCCAGTAATAGAAAAGAGAGGAAGAGGTCCACTCAAATTTGCACAAGCCATGATTGGAGAAGGAATTAGTTACAGAATAAACCAAATCCAGGAACTCAAGATCCAGTATAGGTGGGAAGAAGAATAATTTCATGCTTAAATAAAGCATGAACAATTTTGCTGCTCATTCTGAGTAACCCCATCAATTTCAGGAATCTATTTGATAAGCCACACTTAGGTTTAGTATATGTGTTTCACAAATGTTATAAAGATGATTCAACTCGCTGCTTTTCTTTATGTTTTGCTTGATTCAAATATGAAGCCTCTCCTTCATGTCTTAAGCCTGCCATGACTAAACCACAGGCAATTTATAAAAAGTACTGAAAAAAAGAAAAAAGAAATTATTTTGGAAAAAAGAATCACTACTTACCCTTAACCCACTGAAACTGACAAGCTGTTTTAAATGGTTAAACTGTTCTAATCGTAATAAAAATTATTGGAAAAATACAGTTTGTTCTTTCTTCCCAACACCCCCTCCGCCCACACACACATGCAGGCACTTTTATTCAATATACTTTCTAGGTGAAGCTTCAGTAGCCATTTCAGTGAATACCAATGGCATTAGAATCTTTGGCACGTGAAGGACCAAAGTAAAACATGTGACTCAGCCAGATAAACATTGCCTACCAACCTTGTATATTCAGAGTTCAATAAACCTCCTATTTTATTAAAAGCTCAATTTAATCTGTTTCTTGTTTGTTGCCTTCCTGGGGCTACAAAAACAGACTGTCCAGCTTGCTGGCAGGCACCCATATGTGACTGATGAAATGTGTTCAGCTTGGTTGGCCACAAGCTGTGCAGACCTGTTAAAGATGATTCGTTTTCAAGATTTATACCCTACCCTATGATCCAAAGATCCTCAAATTGTCTTACAGTAATGGTAGAAATAAAAAAACTCCCATAGTTCCACAAGTAACTCAGCAGCACTTAATCTTCTGGCTTATGGAAGGGGCCCAGTTCTGCTGTCCCTCAGTCCCAGAGCAACTAGCATTTGGAGCAAGTGTATTTTCTGACAGGGAAGCAAATTTCCCTGTCTGGCTGGTCTTCCTACGAGATGGGCAAAACCTCAAACTCCCAGTGGCCCTTAGACTAGGGAAAAGAGGAATTCTACATCTTTCACAGATCAGGTACATGGAGAATATTGGTGCTTTTTGGGTGTACTTACTGTTCAGTGAGGTGGCTGAGAGTTCTTTCTGTTCCCCACTTTCTAAAAACTTTTAAGTATGTATTTTTTTAAATCAACAACAACCATTGCTCCAAGCAGCTGCTACAGTTTAAGTTGTGACCAGAATGTTCCATCTTTCATCATCTTTTATCTAGCATCATTCCTAGGGTTATATTGGCCACATTTTAAACAGAATACCTGGTTTGTTAAGGACAACCAAGCCACTGCTTGAAGAGGCAGCAACTTTTAAGTTAAAAGAGAAAATAATTTAGCCAATGTGTCAAAAGTCCTCCAGTCCCCGAAATGCACCAAACCTACTTAGCAAAATGTCTTAGACCTCTTAAACAGCAGAGCATTACACACTTACCTGAGTGTAAGTCCTAAGTAAACAGATGTTGCATATGTTGCTTGTGTAACCTTGAGAAGTTACTACTACTACTTCACCATACAATGGTGTGCTGTAAGATTAGCCATGAAGCATTCCATTTTAATTTTGATGGCAGTCTGCTCTACTGCTCTCAAAGTAATATAAAAGCTAGAAAAGGACTTGAGAACCTTTTTACAATAATCTCTCCACATGTCTTAATAAGAGACTGTCAAAAATTCAGCCTCCTTTGAAGTTGCTGTAATCTAGCTGTCAAATAGGGAAGGAACTGGGGCCAGAAATGATTTATTTCTGCTACTGTGAACTTCAAAACAATTAAACCACACTTCATTTGGAGTTATCTAAATACAGGAATTGATTCAGAGTTGGTCATACTTAACAATAGACCACTGAAATCAATTAGGTCTAAGTTAATCATTTACAGAGATTTCATCGAAGCATAACTAATAGCAAAATCCTATGGAAAATTTAGGAAAAAAGTATATAGGTCCCATAGCTAGCCCAGACATGCTAGGAGTTACAGACCTTTTTTCTGTCTAAACTTGCATAGTACTGTATGCTAAGCCCATTTCAAACTCATGGTGTTTCATAAGTGCCTCGGCATAATCTCTTACAGATCTTAAATAGATTCTAGGTTTATTTATTAGACTTGCACATAAATGTACAATTCAAATATTAATTTTTAAAAAGATCCAGGTAAAGAACAGACTTGCAGGGAAGAAAATATATTTAGTCTGATGACAAACTAATAAAACAGATACTGTGATGGAACTGCATAGCATTGCTCAAAATAAGTAAGAGATAACATCTATTTGTAGCTGCTCCTGAAAGCAATGTTTCTTCAGTAGAATAAAATATAACCTGAGCGTGAAAAGAAACCAACATACAACACATTCAGAAAACTCTCCTATACATGGATATTCAGAATTGAGTTCAGTGGGGCTTAATCCCAAGTAAGTGTGCACAGAATTTCAGCCTAAAAGAAATAAAGAACAAGGGACAAAGAAAGGGTGGTTTGATGGTCTGAGGTAAATGTATAAATGTATCTTTGGACAGGAAAAAAGGCCTACGGCCCTTAATATTCCAATGACAGGAGTTTTAAAATATTTTCTGTATAAATATGCATAGCATTACATCCTGAGCTGAACATGCCTACTTTTTGTGGCATCTACTCAAGAGTTTATATCCCACAGCTCTTGAAATGTACAAAAAGCACAGCATTCAGAGCTTGTCTCAGATTTCAACTTCAGCCTAGCAGCATTTATTTCTTTAAAACAGTCTTTATCACAGTTAAATCCAAATTCACTATATCAGCTTTAGTGGAGCTATAAGAGCAATCCAGACAGTAATATGAAAAGTTCTATGTACTCAGAAGGCCTCTGGACAACTCCTAGGCTGCACAGCAAACTCTTTTTGGAATGTAGTTGAGCTTTGAAATAAGGCCAAGTCAAGAAGCATGGTTGGGCATTCCCTGTTGCCCCAAGGCTGACAAAAGGGTATGCCACTGTCATCTGAATTATTTCTTTGCATATAGCACCTCAAAAGTCCAGAGGAACCATGATAAAATTCTTGGTCTGCTCCTCCTAGGTTAGGCACTCCCTGAAGCTGCCTTTCCCAAGTATCCCCATGGAATATGAACCAGCATTATAGTTGGCTGTTCATCCCCCCACCAAAAAAAGTCCATCAAAAATCCTGATGAGTATACATAACATCCTTAGCTGTATATAAAATAACCTTTGAATTTGTGGCATGTACTAAAATATATGCAGGGCATTCAAATAAAGAAACATGCGCGTGATCAGTAATTTCCCCCTACTGTCTTCAGAAGAAAATTGAAAATGCAGAAACCACAGATTCAAACTTGTCTATTTTTTTAAATGACTATGTCAATTTAGACTAACACATGTTTAAAAAAAATAAGTGTTCACAGCGCTTATCAAATTTGAACTGCTGGGCATGGCATATAGCAATGAGAGAAGCAATTTCCAAAGCTTCTGGGGGGAAAGACATATAAATGGATGGGACTGACATTATGAAGTATTAACAGGATGCTAAATTGCTGCATATCATATTTGCAATGGGCAGTTTACAATCTGTTCATCCTGATGGATTTAGCACAAGGGAGTCTGAAGCCCTGGCTTGGCAATTTCTTTCCGCTCTTAGTAATTTATGGTGAAACTGTACCCACAAATAATGTGTCAGCACAGAATGAATTTGAGACCCAGCTCTGCCCAAACAGCTCCATTATGTTCTCAGGAGCAGTAATGAATGGGAAGTAAGGAAAAGTTGCAGTAGAGATAATGAGTCTGAATACTAATGACTTGTGCTTGTGCAAAAATAGGATTGCAATTCATCAGGTATTACCCATCCATTTGGTTCCTCTAGTGAGTGAAAGAAAGCAAGCAAGCTTGTGCTGTATAGGCCCAAATCAAGGATAATTCTACAGTTTGCTGTAACCCTTTAACGCCTGCTTGCAGAAATGTAAATGGAACAACTCCCATTGGCTCCAATCCAGGAATTTCAGATACAGCAACAAATGTTCCAGAAGAGAATGATAGTACTGATAACCTAATGAAGGGAAGAGCTGACTTTTCCCCTGGAAGATATTATCAAGGCAATGCCCAATACAAAACAAAAACCTGTTTCTGTGTATGAAATGTCCTTGATAAACCAGAGCAGATGAGGTGATGCACAGCTCTAAATCTGAGTCATGGTGACAATCTTCTACTTCTTTTGCAATTATATAGGAAGTATGAGTTGGGCTGGCCTTCCCCTGCTGCCCTCTAGATGTATTGAAATAGAATGCCTCCCCGCCCCGCCCTCTGCCCACATTGTCAATGTGCTCTAGGGCTAATACAGGTTGTAATCCAAAACATCTGGAGGGGAGTTTGGTACAGGATTAGGTGATTCACAGCTTTGGTCCATGTAGCTCAGTACCAGATTAGAACTTCATTGGCTCCAACCAGTATAGTCCAACGTATCTGGAGGGCACCAGGTTAGAGAAGCCATCTTTACCCTGATGGTCACCAGTTTTCAAGGCTTTGGTACAAGCACGTTTCCAAGCTGTACCTGGAGAAGGCAGAGTTTGAATTTAGGGCCTTCTGCATGTTAAGCACATGCCCAGGTTTCACCATTGTGCTGCAACTCTTCCATGAAATTCCTTTAAACGAGAGATGTTCATCAAGATCCAGCCATTAACAAACTGTAGGTTACTTCAAATGTCCATTAGTTGATTCCTCAGGACTTGATGACCAGCAGTGGTTTGAACTGATCCCATTCAAAAGCAATGTTTTTAAAGGGACATGGGTTTTGTGACATGTTTGTAATGGCTCTTCCACAAATGGAACCCAAGTGGTAAACATGCACATTGAAACAGGTTGGAATATTGCTAAATTTGTAGTTCAAAGAGAATCAAATCAGGTAAGCCGCTATTAATTTCAGTGACTGCAACCCAATTAGGGATGTGTGGGGGATCTGATGGAGGAGCACAAATCTGATGAAAATTGTAAGGAATTGAAAAGATTGTACTCCCTTTTATAAAAATTGTTGGTGCAACCACCCTTAGGATGTTATGTTCAGTTCTAGTAACCGCAGCTGAAAAAGAAAATTATTGAACTGGCAAAAGTACAGAGAAGGCAACAAAAATGATCATGGAACTGGAGCAATTCCCCTGTGAGAGATGGTTACAACAAGGATTGTTTAGCTTAGGAAAAGGGCGAATAAGGGGAGACATGATAGGGATGTTTAAAATTATGCATGAAGTGGAAAAAATGGAAGGGGATACATTTTTTGCCCTCTCCCATAGTACTAAATGGGATCAACCCATACAGCTGATTGGTGGGAAAAGTTGGACAGCTAAAGGGAAATATGTCTTCATACAGTACATAAC